TAAAGGAGGGGACGTTCTTTGGGACATTGAAAGACATGTCGTTCAGCGCAGTGGCTCCGGCCTCGACTGCTTTTTCTTTGATGTTCTGGGCAGCTCGGGCGGCCGTGACTTTGAAAACGCTAAGGGCGGAGTTCTGGTGTAGATTGAAAGGGTCGCGAACATTCATATTACGCTCTCAGCATTGTCGCAGTGTGGATCCGGCGGTTTCGAGCAAACGACGTGGGACGGGATGAACAGGTCGCAAACCTCGGGGGTCAACAACCTTGGAGGGAAAAGACTGTGAAAGAGAAATGCAAAGACTGGTGCTCCGATTCAACCCCCAGCAGCTTTGAGGAATGACAGTTGTACTGTGATGGGGTGCGATGTAGGAAAAAAAGAGAGACAAGAGCAACCAGAGACTGAGACTACACCCACTGTACCTAAGGTATCTACGTAGGTAAGGAATCTCGATGATGTGGACTTTCTGGCCCAGCTAGAGCGGGCCCGGGGTCAGCGAGTAACGCCTCTCAGTCGCGCAAAAGCGTCTGAAAGCTAAGGTGCCGAGTACTGACACGGCGACCACTTTACCCGCCAACCCACTGTCTTTCCTCACAGAGCCAGCTCGCTAGTGGACGAGAGAGGAACCCGTGGAAAGGCCGGCAAGAGGAGCGGGCTTGGCCTTGGCCTTTCTGCCGCCAAATGGAATAATACCCTTACTGGGCACGTATGAGAAAAGGCCACCTGTACGGAGTACTCCGTACGGACAACCTGGAAGCTGCCTACGTACCTTTCCTAGCCACTCCCATCGAGTCGCGGCGGAAGGTGGGTAGCCGATAGAGAGGGACCCTGGAAACCACGCGTGTCACGGATAGCACTGAGCTTAGGTAGCACGTAGGTCGGCTTGGAGCCTGCCCTGTGTTTTTTTCTTGCCGGCACAAATACATGCCGATCCATCCGACGTTGAGCCAGTACGTGATTCCCAAGGTAATGTCACTGGCACATTGGCAGCGGGACTGTCATGTCGGCCTTCGTTCACTGTCGACAGTGAGAGACAGAAGACCTACGCCTAGGAGCCATTGAGGTTCGGATACTTTACGAAAAGGAGTTCCAGGCATTGAAGGTCTTGCATTCAAGCTACAAAATGCTACCTACCACTGATCTATAAGTACCGGTATCCGTAGTCGACTTAAAGGTTGGGTATCCGTAAAGTCGGTGGGGCTCCCAAGGGCACACCCGACCGACCCCCAACTCGCCGTTCAGTCGATGGCCTGCATCCGAGCATCACAACTTCAGGCGGGATACGGTCCGGAGAAACAGACGTCTGCCGCATCGAACACCCCGACATCGCCTCGGTCTATGTTCATATCGTACGTGTGAGTCAACGAGGAGCGGAGTCTGCCTTCTAGTGCCACGACTGGTCTTTCCCTTCAAAGACGATTTTGTATCCCCCTCACCAGTCGAATTCTTAGCGATATTCGGACCCATTGCACAGGAAGTGAGAAACGCAGATCCATCGTTGGGAGTCAAACACTGTCTACGTTCAAAATGTCGTTGAGGAACTTCCCATTCTTGACTCCTGAGGAGTTTTCCGAAATATGCCATCACTTCGATAGCCAATATTGCCGTGCCACCCTGGGCCCGATGCGACGGCGTTGGAAAATGAGGGTATGCACGGCACTTGATACATCATTCGCCTCGGGCGTTGAATACACTACTTATTTACAAATCGTCCGGCCACTCGAGGCTACGTTGGACTGCGGCGATCTCTCCTCCGTTCTGGACAACTTCTCATTTGGCGAGAGTGCTTCGGACAAGGACGCTCTGGGACTAGGTGACGAGGCAATGATTGATGCTGAAGAGTCTGACGAGGTAATGTCCGACTCTTGATGTACGACGACACACTGCTTTAGCTCACATACGCTCAGGCTGCGCTCGCCAAGTCACACGTTCCTGATTCCGGTCACGTCGTCTACGAAGTGCATTGGCATCCCACATATCGGATGCCTTGCCTGTGGTTCACATTACATGGACTACCAGCCGACGAGCCTGCATTTAACCTTGACACTGTCTTTCGAAGACTCGTGCCCGATCAGTTCAAGGATGCTCTCCGAAGGTCCAGTGGCATCGGAGGAATCTCTGGCGATGTAAGTGGGCATCAGCTGCGGACCAGTCAATTAAGTCTTCTGAAAGAGACCATCTGTAGATCTGTACTAACAATCGAGGTCGCAGCACCACCCCCTCACGGGATTACCGTCATTCTTCATTCATCCATGCCTGCTCGGGGACGCCATGTCGGGGTTCAACTGTTCCAAGGAGCAGTACATGATGCTATGGCTCGGCCTGGTAGGCGGATGCGTCGGGCTTTGGGTGCCCAAAGAGATGGCCCTGGAATCAACCGGCTGAAGCTCGCCGGCGCCGGGACCCTCCTGCCTACCTTACTTTCACCGTGGTTGAAAACAAGTGCAAGACTAAGATTCTCAATCGTCGTCACTGTCCTCTTCCATGGCAACATCACTGTCCTCGTCTTCCTCCTCGTCTCTGGTCCGTTTCTGGCCTCTTGCATCAGCAGTTTGGGCGTCAGCCATGGTTTGATCACCACCAGCTGCTGGCTTCGCCGTGGCGGCCCCTGCGACAGCCCCTGATGCGGCACCAGGTGCGGGGGCGTTGAAGATACTCTTCTGAAGATCCGTCACTTCGGTGCTGGAAGCTCCTGCTGTCGAGTTTGGCATTTTGTATGTGCCGTCTAATTTGGCAACGAAGTCGGACTTGGACTTTGCGTACTGAACGGTCTGTTCACGCGTCAGCGAACCGTCTCACAATCCACTACTCAGGGTTGCATACCAGGGGCCGACCGAGGAACTCAAAGCCTTCAAGGGAGCGCATGGCCTGGGTTGCTGTTTGGATATCGCGGAAGGTGACATGGGCTTGTCCTCGCATCTTCATAGTCTTCATGGCGACGATGTCGAGAACGGGGCCGTAGGTGGAGAACAGCAAGTAGAGTTCGGTTCGCAGGTCGGCTTTTTGTATCTTGTTGGACGGGAGATTTGTGACATAGAGCCTACAATCATGAGCGAGCGCCCCTTGTTTTCGGGGGTTCTGACTTACGTCTGGTTCGGAGCGACAGTCGCAACTTTGGCGGGTAGTGATGCATTTGGCGCGAGGCCGCGGGGAGGAGCGACCGCTGCCATTGTGCAATGTGATGAACTGGAGGGCAAGATGATATGAGGCCGTTGCGGAAATCGTCGGCTGTTCGACAAGGGAATTCGGCGTGGGCGTGATCTCGAGATGGCGCGTAGAGATATTCGTCGTCGTTGAATCGTCGCGGTTCCGATTTTTTGTGATGAACGTCCGGCCACCGCACTTTAGTTGGTCAAGCAGCCTTTGGAGCTTCACTGCTAGCACCGCCAATCGATTCCAAGGACGCCCGGGTGTGGCCTTAGGTTCAGAGCTGTGCAGGACAGCGAGTGGTGCGAATGCCACGCTGCCCTGTCGGAAGACCTACGTAACGCCCCTCTCTGCCCCACCAATGTGCACCTCCCAGACGGTACGCTGTAATGTATGCAATGCATGCACCTTACGTATGTAGAGCCTGGGGGAGATACATCTGCCTTGCTTGGACGGAAGCCAGCCAGCCTCGACTAGCACTGCCTCAAGCGACAACTTCGTCTACTATCATCTCCGACTCTTCTGTTCCTATTCTCCCTCAACAACCTTCGACTCATTCTAGATAGTGGTAGTAGAGAGCTATACTCCTATCACGAAGCAACCGTTCATCATGGCGGCCCCTCAGGTTCACCACCTCTTCCACGCGCCCATCGCAGACCATTCCTTCTCTGCCGACCGCCAGACGCTGGCTATCGCTCGCGATTCCACCATTGAGCTCTACGGACCTACTGGAAACTCTTTCAAGCTCAAGGACGAGCTCAAGGGACACGACAAGACTGTCACGAGTGTCGATATTGCTCCCAACAGCGGCCGCATTGTCTCCTGCTCCCAAGGTGTGTCAATGCGCGCTGCCTAGTTTTGCCCTGCCTCCGAGCCGAGAACAGCACCTGACCTTTCGCGATAGACCGGAATGCCCTCGTCTGGGAGCCCTCGCCGACCGGATACAAGCCCACACTTGTTCTCCTTCGAATCAGCCGCGCCGCGACTTTCGTGCGATGGTCCCCGTCCGAGACCAAGTTCGCTGTCGGATCGGGCGACCGCGTAATTGCCGTCTGCTACTTCGAGGAGGAGAACGACTGGTGGGTGTCAAAGCACTTGAAGAAGCCCATCCGCAGCACCATCACATCCGTCGCATGGCACCCCAACTCCGTTCTTCTTGCCGCCGGATCCACCGATGCCCACGCCAGGGTTCTTTCCAGCTTCATCAAGGGCGTCGACGCCCGCCCTGAGCCGACCGCTTGGGGTGAACGGTTGCCGTTCAACACCGTCTGCGGAGAGTATTTGAACAACTCTGCCGGCTGGGTGCACTCTGTCTCCTTCTCGCCGAGCGGAAATGCCTTGGCCTTTGCTGCTCACGACAGCAGCATTACCGTCGTATACCCCAGTGCCCCTGAACAGCCTCCCCGGGCCGTCGTCACTATCAGCACCCAGCTGCTGCCGTTTATGAGCCTTCTGTGGAGCTCAGAGGATGAAATCATTGCCGCAGGCTACGACTGCGAGGCCTTCCGCTTCAAGGGCGACGAAGGTGGCTGGGGCCTTGCGGGCACACTCGAGTCAAAGGGCCGACCCGGCCTTAGCGACGCCCGCGAAGAGTCTGCGCTGAACATGTTCAGGCAGATGGATCTGAAGGGTAAGGCTACCGACGACACCAAGCTCAAGACGGTACACCAAAACACTATCACCACACTTCGTTCCTATGAAGAGTCTGGCGGTAACCTGACAAAGTTTACCTGTAAGTGTTTCATTCCCTTTGTTCTCGGTGTCGAATGCTAACTAGGTATGAAGCCAGCGGTGTCGACGGGAGAATCGTCATTTGGAGCACTTAGACAACTTTTCATAGCAAGCTTTCAATGGGAATACCACGATGTTTCAGATACTCACCTCCTTAGTGTGAACTGACTTGCTAGCACTTCGTCATACGTTCTCGACAGTTCTCCCCCAAGAGTATCTTTGAAGAAGACTGCCTCATGTTGCTCGACAGCCGACTTTATACAAATACACCGTGTACAGACCCTCTAACTCAAGCAGGCCATCTAAAATTACATCGGCAATCGACACTCAACATGGAGCAGTTCGGCAGAGACCCCGAGCCTCAGCGCTCACCCAGCACATTCATCTACAATCTTGCGTTCCGACAAAACGATCAGAAGTCGGCAACCAGTACGAATTCGATGGCTGTACAAGCTTCGCCTACGCCACCTGTATTCTATTCGCAACTCCAGTCCGATTCTCTTCTGGAATGACGCGCTCTGGCAGGGCGGACTAGTCACGGCAGGCCACTTGAGCCATTAACTATTTGGATCCCGCACCGAAAAAATATGAACGAATACGTGACGAACTCTGGCGGGGCAAGAAGCCAAATTGAGCAGCCTTCAACATGGTTTTATCCCCGCAAGGTGGTTCCCCCGACGCATGGGGAGTGGCATGCTCTAGCAGTCAGGATTCGCTCGGTTCAGGAAATATGTCTACGAGCTAATCAGAAATATCACGAACAACGACGCAGACAACGCAGCAACGATCGCAAAGAAGAACGTAGAGACAATCGCTGGGGGAGCTGCTTGGAGAGGTTTCGCGGAAGTAGTCGTCGCCCCGGTCCCTACGATCGACCCGTTCGACGAGATTCGCAACGTGATTCTTCGTCTTCAGCCTCTCCGACTGATAGCGACAGGATCTCAAATGAATTGCTGGTGGACAGCATCAGCCGGATTTGCGACCATCTCTGGGAACAAGCCAAACTAGACACACTGTTCCGATTGCTGGGCAGGAGGAAGCAGCGGGAGGCAGCGGCAACCATGGCACAGCTGCTTGAGTGGGCGGAAACGGTCGTGGAGTGTGGTGATCGCAGCGAACTCAGCGATTCTCCCGACAGGTCGGACTTATTGCAGTCACTCGAAGCTGCAGAGTATCTATGTTGCTGATTTGGCGACAGTGATGGGGAAGCAGAACTGGGAGAAGTTGAGGGTGCTGTGACATTCTATCTCATTTTCGGAATCATGACCAGTCGAACTCTTACTTTGCAGGGCTCCATCTTTCAAGAAATGAATGATTTTATGCCGCAGAAATAGGAGACCGGAACATGATACTGTGGCTCAGGCATCACACTCCCTGACTGCAATTCTTCTTTCTGTACTTGCAAGGTAATCAATGGGTCCAAGTACTTGGGCGAAACAGAAGGGGAGCATTATGTCTTTGACCAGATATATTATCATGCTGCCCCTCGACTGGTAGGACAGCGGGGTCAAAGAAATGGAAGCAAGCACATGCAGCTGGGCTACCTTATCCGCACACCTACCTGAGCTACCTTACCTAAGGTAACGTGCTAACGTGCCTTCTCTCACCGAAACCCCCCCGATGTAAGGTACTCAAGTCTTGGGCACACTACCTATCACACCTATAATTGGGAGGCAATGAATAGTGACATGTGCCGCCAAACAGAGACTTGGTCGCTGTGCTCGCCCAAACGGGAGATACCCATGCCCCTGCCACCTCTTTACTTTCTCCAACTCAAACGTCGTCTCCCGCTGATCTAACCCAACCCCACCAAACGCTCCAGCACCTCCCAGCTCTCGCACCTGTGCTTGTGCTTGTGCTCTACCGGGACTTGCAGTGTCAACCACCTTTTAACAACACATCCACTACCACCCTTTTTTTTTCCTTTGAGAAGGAAACGTCACCGCTATTGCCTGTGAAGATCCATCTTGGATTCTGTTCGTCGGTAAGCATTTCCCGCAGTCTTCTGAGTTTTGTTACCTTTTGCATCCGAGATACCTTCCAGGCGCTTACCATCTTCCGTCCTCCAGTCCACCTTAGATTACTCACCGCGTACAAGCGACCCGCCACTATTTGCCAGAAGGACCCCGCCAGAGCTCTACCGATACGCAACATCGCAAATCACCGGGCTCCAGCAACATCAACCACCCCCGAGACACTTCCCATTAGCAAGCAACGCACTTATTCTTGCTGAGAATCCGACTCTTTCCCACAACGAAACGAACCTCGAGAGAGAAAGCCATGACCGATCCCTAATAATGGAAACCTCCATGTCAACTCAAGAGCGCCAGCTCTGTGAGTTTCTCCGAGAGCTTCCCGCAAGATGGAACTACGAGTACGACGATCAAGCGCACCACGACCTATTGGAAAGTCTCTTTTGGTCTTTGGCAGGAGGCGAACGATACATGCCCCTCTTCTTCCCCTCTGGACGTCCTTCGCACAACCTCAAACTCCACGATGCTCAAGGCGCAGAGGAAGGCGCCGAATACACCGATGCCGCCCGCGGCAAGCGATGCGGCCACATTTTCAAGCCCGGAGAAGCCTCCTACTCCTGCAGAACTTGCAGTACCGATGATACTTGCGTCCTTTGCAGCCGGTGCTTTGACTCGACCGATCACGCCGGACACATGGTTCGCATCAGCATTTCCGTCGGTAACAGTGGATGTTGTGACTGTGGCGATGACGAGGCGTGGCGCCTTCCCATGTTCTGTACGATCCACTCCGAGACGAGCCCGGAGAAGGGTGAGGGAAAGGGAAAGGAACCGGCCGGTCTTTCCGAGGACCTGGTGCAGAACATGCAGATGACAATTGGCCGTGTCTTTGACTACATCTGCGACGTCATATCATGCTCACCGGAGCAGCTGCGGCAAGGCAAGACGGCCGACTCCATCCAAGCCGACGAGGAGCTTTCGCGCTTGTCACCAAGCATCTATGGCGAAGGTCCTTCGGGGCACCCCGAATATGCGCTGGTCCTCTGGAACGACGAGAAGCATACTGTGGAGGATGTGCAGAATCAGATTGCGCGGGCTTGCAGAACAACCGAGGCTCAAGCTCTCGAACGCGCTACCGAGACGGACCTTGTCGGGCGCAGCATCCTGAAGCGGCTCGACGACCTTGACGCTCTTCTTGAGATGGCCACTAAGTTGGAGCATATCAAGGTAACCGTCACCATCAGGTCATCGCGCGACACATTCCGTGAGCAGATGTATGGGGCCATGATCGAATGGCTCAGCGACATTTCAGGATGTAGTGTCGGATCAGATCACACCATTCTGCGAAACACCGTCTGCCAGGAGATGATGAAGCCTTGGAGGAAGGGCAGTCCTGGAAGCCATGCTATTGTGGGAAAGGATGGCATTTACGATGAAGAGAGGTTCTTGAGAAATCTCGAGCAGTCTCAGTCTTTCAACCAGCACGTCTTGCTGCAGATGCAGCGTATTGCTGCCCAACAGCAAATAAGAACTTTGGACGGCAGTGATGATGATGACATCGACATGGGAAGGGGCAACGGCACTCCGGATAGTGACGCGGGCGACGATGATGATGATGACGATATGGACGACATCATGATGGTGGATATACAGCCTGATGGACCTGGGGATATAGGCCTCGAGTGGCGTGGTAATGATCAAGCTTTGGAAGAAGATGAAGCTACCATGGCCGGTTATCCGCCTCCTCCACCCCCGCCCGCAGCTGCACGCCGCTCCGCCAGAGATCGCGATTTGACGCCTTCAGATTCCGACACTGCCGAGCCCTTGATTGCACCTGCGATATACGCCAAGGCCAACTTGGAAATCCCCAAAACTCCTGGCCAGGGAGAGAAGGCGCCCTCACCGAAGCCAGGTAGGTACTGGCTTGAGACTCCTCCTGGGTACATGAATCGTGAGAATGTTCCCCCGGCAGAAGATGTTTTCCAAAGGGTTCGTCTTGACTGGCTCATTCTATTCGACCTCCGCATGTGGAAGAAAGTACGCAACGACCTTCGGTCCCTCTACATTTCAACTGTTGTTTCGATACCCGAATTCAAGCGCATCTTGGGACTACGATTTGCAGGATTGTACACGACGCTGGCTCAACTCTATCTGATTGGAGACAGGGAGCCAGACCATTCCATCATCAATCTGTCTCTACAGATGCTCACGACACCGTCGATTACTGCAGAGATTGTCGAACGCGGCAATTTCATGACGAGCTTGCTCGCCATCTTCTACACCTTCCTAACCACTAGACAGGTGGGTTACCCATGGGATGTCTCGTCCAATGCTGTCCTCGCCTTCGATTCCGGCTCAGTGACGAATCGGCGCATGTACCACTTCTATCTGGACTTGAAGTATCTTTTCGGCTCGCCAAATGTCCAAGAGAAGCTGCGCATCGAGGAGAGATATCTCTTGCAATTCTTGGATCTTGTCAAGCTACACCAAGGCATTGGGCCGAATGTTCGCGCCATTGGGGAGCATGTCGAATACGAGACGGATAGCTGGATAACGGCTTCGCTGGTGACACGCGAAATCAACAGACTCGCTCGACAACTTGCCGACGCATACAGGAATGTGCCGGAAAGCGAGGCCCACTTCGTCGCCCAGGCCATCAAATTGACAGCAAAGGCAGTGATTCTTCACTCGATTGGTGCCGAACGCCATCGCTTCAAGCAGGCGGAAATCAAGGAAGAGGTCAAGTTCCAGACTTTGGGTGATTTCGAGTTTGACAATGAGTCGGCACGATACGAAGTAGTCAAGTTCACCGTCGAGGAGGATCCCATCAGCTTCCATCACGCCCTCCACTATACGCTCTCATGGTTGGTTGAGTGCGGGAAGTCTCTCCCTGCCTCAAGCATGCGAGCTCTGTTGAGCTTCACGACGCAAGATTTGAGAATTCCTCCCCGCTCCATGGGTCGCAAGGTCATGCCAAGAAGGGACAACTCGCCGGAAGATAATCTCATGGCTGCATTCGACTATCCCCTGCGAGTTTGCGCTTGGTTGGCGCAAATCAAGGCGAACATGTGGGTTCGCAATGGTATTAGTCTGCGTCACCAGGCGGCGACATATCGTGGAGTCAGCCAAAGAGATGTTTCTCACCACCGAGATATCTTCTTGCTCCAGACTGCCATGGTTACGGCTGATCCAAGCCGCGTCCTCGCATCCATCATTGATCGATTCGGCATGGAAAAATGGGTCAAGGGCTTTTTTGAACAAAAGTCGGCGGCGCAAGACGATGCGCAACATTTGGATGTGGTTGAAGACATGATTCACCTCCTGATTGTGTTGCTGAGTGATCGCACATCATTGATTGCCTCTGAGGACGAGCCCAACGCCAACGTCCTCGCCATCCGCCGCGATCTCACCCACATTCTTTGCTTCAAGCCCCTCTCGTTCAACGAAATTAGCAACAAGCTGCCCGAGAAGTGGCAGGAGCAAGAAGATTTCCATCGGGTGCTTGATGAAATGGCTTCGTTCAAGCCTCCAGAGGGCGTCTCCGACGTCGGCACTTTTGAGCTGCGACCCGAGTTCGTTGAGCATATTGACCCGTACATTGCCCACTACAACAAGAATCAGCGTGAGGAGTCCGAGTTGGCATACCGCAAGAAAATGGCCATCAAGACGGGGAAGCCAGTCGAAGAAATTGTGTACGAGCCCAAACTTCGATCTATTCCCTCGGGACTTTTCAAAGACCTGGCTGCGTTCACCAGCACTGGCATGTTTGCCCAGATCATCTACTACTCCTTGCTCTACCCGCTAGTCGCCGCCAGACTTACGCCAAGCGTGCCATCCACTCGGACTGAGACTTTCCTTCAGGTCGTCCTTCACCTAATCCTTATTGCGATTTCCGAGGACAAGGCAGACGAGAGTGACATGACAGAGGAGTCGCTCAACTCATTCGTCTTCATATCCCTGACACGCACAGCTCGAAGCAACTTCATGCAAGAAGCGCCGAATGCGAAGACCATCGTCGCGTTACTGGACATGATGTCCACCAAGGAAGAGTTCAAGGCATGTCATCCCAAGATTGCTCTCATCCTAAAGAGGATGCGACAGAAGCGCCCACGCAACTTTGAGAACGCCTATGTCCGGTTGGGCGTATCAGTTGACCGCATTGATACTGCGTCTCCGGCCAACAACTCTGCGGAGGAAGAACGCGAGCGCAAGAAGAAGGCCGCACTCAGTCGGCAGGCCAAGGTTATGGCTCAGTTCCAACAGCAACAGAAGAGCTTCTTGGAAAACCAGGGCAACATCGACTGGGGCTCGGATCTCGAGGATGAGGATGAGGCCGAGCAGAACGCTGATCGGAAGAATAATTGGAAGTATCCCACTGGCACCTGCATTCTGTGTCAAGAAGATACGGACGATCGTCGTCTTTACGGCACCTTTGCTCTCTTTAACGAGAGTCACATTCTACGACAGACGGATTTACAAGATCCTGACTTTGTTAGAGAAGCCTTCCACACACCTTCTAGCCTGGATCGCTCTGCAGAAGACATCCGGCCGTTCGGTGTTGCTCATGAGAATCGACAAGAAGTCACCAAGGTCAACGCTCAAGGCGAGAAGTTTGTTGCGGAACGTCAAACAATAGGCAAAGGATTCCCATCCAACCTCTCGCGACCTGGACCCGTCTCAACTGGTTGCGGCCATATGATGCACTACAGCTGCTTTGAGATGTACTTTGATGCGACAAATCGGCGACACCATCACCAAATTGCTCGACACCACCCCGAGAACCTTCGAAGACAAGAGTTTGTCTGCCCCTTATGCAAGGCTCTTGGAAACGCGTTCTTGCCCATCATATGGAAGGGACAAGAAGAATGTTTCCCAGGGCCCCTTCAATCCCCGCGTATCTTTGCAGACTTCCTGGACGCTCAAATGCGATCTGGCTACTACGTCCTTGGTGCGAATCGCCCTCCCGACCAAGTTCAGGCAGGATTCGCCAGCTATACCGCAGGACAAGTCACGGGTTCACTGGCAGAGAAGGCGCCTCAGCTACTGGAAGAAGCTTGGTCGGCTGATGAGTCGGGTTTGGATTCTGTGGTTGTTAACACGCCGCTGACATCCGTGTTCCCGGCAGCCAGCACGCCGGTCTCCAATCGTCGATCTGTGCAGAGTGATGGTTCCACTCTCATGACCGAGCTGGCCAAGGTTTACCGCCGTCTTCGCGATACTGTACGGTCCAACAACTTTGAGACTCGCCACGACAGGCTTATCATCGAACTGCGAGAGAAGAACGAGCTTTGTCATAGCGACGTCCTGGCTAAATTGGTTGGTTACTCCACCTCGGCCGCAGAGATCCAGCAGCGTGGTACCGAAGCTCAGTACGGTATGACGCTGCTGGAGAAGATTCCTGAGCAGAGTCTGACGCACCTCCGCATCTTGGCTGAGACGGCCACTGCCTACCGTGCTGTTGGTGGTCTTAAAGCAGGCGGAGACAACTGGATCGACGAAGAATTCCGCCTGGATAGCGAGCGGCAACACGTTCAACTATTTGTCTCGCAGTACTTTGGACAGGAAACGGAACACGTCAGGCGTCCTATCGACATTTATCCGCCGTTGCTTGGCCAGGATGCCTTCATCTTCTTCACCGAGTGCGTCTTTGGCGTCATCCCCGCACAGAACTTTGACGTCACTCATATCCTGAGACTTTGCTATCTTGCGGAGATCGTCAAGGTTGTCTACCACATGGGGCGCAACATCCCGGTGTCCACTTGGGTGAACCATCTTCTCAACAGGGAGACACAAGATCCGGCACTGAAGAACTTTGCCGAATTCTGCCTTGCAATCATCAAGACCGGCATGGAGATCAACGTGTCCCACCATGAGATGCCAGCAGATCTTGGCGAGAACAAGGGCTTCGGACAACCGGAGCTGGACAACCTCGAGGGCTACTACACTTTCGTCAAGAAGTATGCTCTGACTTTCCTGAGGAAGAGCGTCATTCTTCTCTACATCAAGTACGGCGTAGACTTCAACAGCCACGTTTCTCCTCAGCCAGACGCGGACGAGTTAGACCGCCTCACTGAAGTACTTCGGGTGCCGACCTTTGACGAGATGTGTGCTGCCATCACCGACCATGGTCCCAATTTCGGTTGGCCTGAGTCGACCTCCAGTCTAGTTAGTGGATGGATCAGACATCAAATCATGTGGCCAGGCGACGCCGACTGTAGGCTCCCGAAGTCCGCGCTCATCAGCCACCCAGGCATCTTCGAGCTGGTGGGACTACCGAAGAACTACGATGCTCTCATCGAGGAAGCCACTCGACGCAAGTGTCCAACGACAGGGAAGGACGTTTCGGATCCCATGATTTGCCTTCTCTGCGGAGAGGTCTTTTGTGGTCAGGCAGTCTGCTGTCTCAAGGAGGAGACGGCATCTGGCGACCGTGAGCCGCAGAGGATTGGCGGATCGCAGCAACACATGCGAAAGTAAGTCTTCACGAATGTTGATATGCGAAACAACCATGCTAATCTCTCCATGTTCTAGGTGTCAGAGCAACATTGGCCTCTTCCTCAACATTCGCAAGTGTTGCATTTTCTACTTGTTCAGGTTGTCGGGGTCTTTTAGCAGCGCACCCTACATTGACAAGTACGGCGAGACGGATCTGGGCCTGCGCCACGGCCGTCAACTTTTCTTAAACCAGAAGCGGTACGACTCCATGCTGCGTACCACGTTCCTCAGTCACGGCATTCCGAGCTATATTAGTCGTAAGCTCGAGGCGGAGATTAACAACGGTGGCTGGGAGACGATTTGAAGTGTCGCCGGGTGGATGGAAGTGATGAAGTCTGGGAGAAACGAGCCTCATGCAGAAAAGAGAGGTACTGGGGGGCCGGGGGGGTTGGCGGGCAGAAATACATATTCTTTCGAATTGCGGGTGGAAAGCGAAGGATAGACATAACATGCATCTTCGACCGTTTTTGTTATTTTCTCATCGGTAGACCACATAGCAACTTTGGGAGGGGTGTGGCAGGGAGGCAACGTCGGAGTTTCGACAGGTTCGCAAACGAGTGTTAGAAATTCAAAATAGCAGAAAATGATACTCTGCGCACAACAAATATTCCGCTGGAGTTTTCATATTTGGCAACGAAGTCTGCCCGTTTAAGAGGTTTCAAGAGGACGGTTGTCCGTGTGTCTTGGTATCATGTTCAGGCCATCTAACTACCCCCGAGATGATTCTGTTTTCTCCCCCCCCTCTCTACATCTCTCTCTCGCTCTCTCTAGCTTCCCCTGCGTGAGACATCCCATCATACACCAGCCATATCGACGTCCTCTTCCTGCTTTATCGGTGGTTCCGTGCCATTGACATGTGCGACTTCTTCTTCCCTGGCCTCCTCACCATTTGTGTGACCATTCGTCAGCGCTTTCTCCGCTCCATTCGTCTCTGTACCATCAGCAGCAACAGCGGCAGCAACGGCCTCAGCACCGCCAACCTCCCCATCGCCCAGCGCCCTCTTAAAGATGCGTATCCGCCCGTCCTGCCCCGCCGAAACCATGACGTCCCCATGAACATCAACCCAGAAACACACGCTGGCACCCTTGCCTCCTCCTCCCCGGTGCGAAGAAGAATCCTTCTTGTGCGTAGGAATCCGCTGGACAACCTCCTTCGTAACAACATCCCACAGCACAATTTCGCCGTCCTCGCTGGCGGAGGCGATGAAGGCGCCTTCGCCGGGGACGAGACCGAAGCAGCCGCCGATAGCGAAGCGGTTGTTGGCGTGGCCCTGGTACGTCTTCTTCACGGAGCCGGCGACGTAGTCCCAGAGGCGGATGCTGTTGTCGAGGTTGAAGGCGAGGACGAAGCGACCGTTGGGCGCGAAGCAGACGGACGTTACGGCGGGGTTGTCTTCGTGGACTAGGGTGCGGAGGCATTGGCCTGTGTAAGTGTCCCATATGCGACTGTTTGTGTGTTTCATGGTTAATGGACAAGGTTTTCCAGTCAAATAGAAGAAAGAGTTGGGCGCGGGGATGTGTTGGTTGAACTTACATGAGACCATCGGTGGAGCAACTCACGACCAACGTGCCGTCGCAGGAAAAGTCGATACCGCTGACCGGGTCGCTATGCGCTGGTAAACTACGCATCAAACGGCCCGCCCTCACATCCCACAGAAACACAGCCTCATCGTAGGATCCCGAAGCGAGAATATTTCCCCTCGGCGAGAAGGCAAGACACATGACGTAGTTATGGTGCCCCCGCAGCGGCGGCATGGGATGAGCCGCAGGCGCCGCGTCGTCCTTGGCCATGTGGCCCACGCCCTTGGCAGTGACCTTTGGCCGGCCCGTCACCCGGTCCCAGAGACGAATCGACTTGTCGTCGGACCCCGTCGCCAGGCTCTCGCTGTTGGGGCTCCACGCCACGCAGCTCACGCCCGCCATGTGGCCCACCAGCGTGTCCATGTGCTCCCCCGTGGCCGCGTCCCACGTCTTGACGGTGCCGTCGGCTGAGGCGCTTGCGATCCAACGGCCGTCGGGCGATATCCGCACCTGCGAGACGGGGCTCCCCGCGTGTCCGCTCAGCACCCTTTCCTCCTCGTACCGCGGCCTCACGGGGCCCCTCTTCACGGGTCCGGGTGTTACGGGTGTCGTTACTGCCGCGTCGGTGTCTGCGCCACCGTTGGTTGACGAGAGCCGTAGCCTGCGGTCGACGGCGCCTGAGAGGCTGCGCGGTGAGCTCCCCCCGCCCGATGTGGACGCGGGCGACCGTGATCCCGCGCGGGAGTCGTCTTCTTCTTCTTCGTCGTCGTCATCATCGCTTCGTGAGCGAGAGGGCGAGGCGGTCGCCGATCTCGGTGTGCGCGATCGCGACCGCGACCTCGAGTGCGAATGCGATCGGGATTTGGAGTGTGAGGAGCGAGAGTAGTATGCCGCCTCGTTGAGCTCGTCCTCGCTAGGAGACCTGCTAGGTGTCATGCTGGGGCGGCCGCGGTTGGTGGACAGGCGGCGTGATGTGCTGGACCGATGCTTCTTCGTTCTCGTTGGCGTCGTCGCGGTGGCCTTTTTCGCGGCGGCTGCTGCTGCTGTGGTGGTGGTGGTGACTGTGGTGTCGTTAAGCTCATCTGGTGAGCTTGATCGTGGTGCCGCGGATGTGCTGTGTGCAGCGACGACTTTGCGACGTTTTGGAGGGGGTTCGGGCAGAGGCGTTGCTGCTGCTGCTGCTGAAGAGCCGAGGTCTGACATTTTCAAGTTAAATTTGGGTGGAAAGGTTCGAGTAGGTAAGAGAGGGGGGTTTTGCCAGTTCCCTTTGTCGTGTTGGTAGAAAAGGCTGTTCGTTCGGGGGCGACCGGTGGGAGGAAAGAGCAATGTCAGGGAGAGTGAATGACAAGGCTGAATGAAAGACGGACAGAACGAATGATCAGCAACATTTGACGCGTTGAAAAGAAGCAGGGGTTGCTTGACTGACGTTTAGCGGTTACTTTTCAGCCTCGTCCCCACCACACAGGTCATTCTGGGGTCAAGCTTCTCCCCTGATAGTGTGTGGGACCGCTAAGATAAGAGACCGCTGCTGCCATTTAACGTACCGATTGGCCAATGGCGAAGTATCTGGGGTCTCTCCGGCCGCGTAGACGCAAATAAGTGGAACCCTTCCGTCGACAATCCCCGGCACGCCGGCACGCGCAAACGGGAGAGCTCCAGGAAATCAGAAAAAGAAAACCGAACGCAACGTCACCCAAAAGTCCAAGCGTCCGTTGTAGTGACCTTTTCATCCCATCTCATGAGAGCCCCACGATCCGACCTCACCTTTGACGGTCATACGACTTCACGTTCATCTTTTCAAATGCCATAGCGCCAGCTGAGTTACCTACTCACCATTGCGATAATCACGAAACCTAGATCCCACTCTTACACTCCACTTCGGAAGCTTCGGCGTACTCGTTCACGACCTTCAAGTGCCGACCTATCTTATGGCGAGCTTGGTGTCGTCTTACACGCGTTCAACACTTTTCTCCATCCAATACCTTACCTTACCTCTATCCACTTTAAGCCGTCTCATTCTTTGATTCCTTCAGCATTCTTTTCAACGGGGTTCTTCTATTTATTCGAACCACATTACTCCTCCCTTTCATATTACAAAACATTCAAATCCTTCACTTCCTCATACCAAAACAGAAAACCCACCAAAAATGGACGACCCTCTTCCAAAAGACCTCCGCCTCCTAACCCTCAACTGCTGGGGCCTAAAATACATCTCCAAGCTCCGCCCCCAACGCCTCGCAGAAATCGGCCGCCGCATCGCCGCCCTCCCGGACCCGCCCCACGTCGTCGCCCTCCAAGAGTGCTGGGTCACCGCCGACTACGACGCCATCCGCGCCGAGACCGCCGCCGTCCTGCCCCACGCCAAGTTCTACTACTCGGGCCCCTTTGGCGGCGGCCTCGCCATCCTCTCCCGCTGGCCCCTCGAAGAGAGCTCCATGCTCCGCTACCCACTCAACGGCAGACCGACCGCCTTCTGGAGAGGCGACTGGTACGTCGGCAAGGGCATCGCCTGCGCCCGCATCCCCATCCGCCTCGCCGCCGCCGCCGCCGCCGCCGCAGACGGCGATGACGACAACAACTCGGCAGGAGGCGGTCCCGGGAGAGACCACGTCCTGAGCATCTTCAACACCCACACTCACGCCCCCTACACCGAAAACCAACCAGGCGACACCTACCTAGCCCACCGCCTCTCCCAATCCTGGGAAATGTCCAAACTCCTCCGCGCCGCCACCCAACGCGGCGACCTCGCCCTCGCCATGGGCGACTTCAACATGCGGCCCTGCTCCCTCCCGCACCGCATAATCACAGCCCACGCCCCCGTCTCCGACACCTGGCGCGTCCTCCACCCGGACTCGTCCCTCGGCGCAGCAGACGACCCCCTCGAAAAGGCGCGCGGCAGGCCCGTCCCCTCGGCCGACTTCAACCTGCGCGAAAACGGCGCCACGTCAGACCACGTCTACAACACCTGGCGCTGGTCTAAGGAGCAACAGAACAAGTTGGGCGAGGGCAAAGACCCCGTCGTCATTCCGCCAGAGACCCTCGACAGAAAGGGGAAACGCCTGGATTACATCTTCTTCGGCAGCAGTAGCAGCGGAGACGACGGCACCTGGGTCGTCCGCAGCGCCAAAGTCGGCATGGTCGAGCCGCATCCCACACTAGGCTGCTCTCTAAGCGACCACTTTGCCGTCGAGGCAACGCTGGCATACCAGACCCCCCACGACCACAAACACCAAGGCCTTGACGCCACGGGAAACGACAACGAGACCTCCTACCTTCAGGACGCCTCAGCCAGCTCTCATCGCGACTCCTTCGCGTCCGAGAATCCCCCCCTTTCCGAAAGGCCGGGCAAAGGTCTTCCACTCCAAGTCTACGACGAGATACTCTCCGTGACACGTCAGTACATCCACCGGGAGGAGAGCCAACGGCGCTGGCGGGGGATACACTTCTTTGCATGGTTTGCCGTCTTGATAGCGTGCCTTGTAGCCGTGTGGTTCAGCCCGCACAACTTTGTCGCCTTCATCCTCATGCTTCTGAGCAGTCTTGGGCTGGTGGCCGGTGTTGTTGACGGTCTCATGTCACTTCTCTTCTTCAACTCTGAACTCCGAGCCCTGAAGGAGTTTGAATGGGAAATCACAAACGCCAAAAGGCATTCACGCGGTGCCGTCTCGGGAGAGAGAGAACAGAGGGAAAAGTCTTTCTAAGGACCCAAACGATGGTTGTCCTGCAGAGTTTGAAACTTGTGATACCCCTGGCTCCAGGCGTAGTTAGTGGTGTCCCCACAACGTGTCACACGCACCAGGAGAGAGGCTAATATGTAATGAAGAATATTGTCTATTCATACTTGATGTTCCTCTTTCCTTCTCATGATGGCGCAGCACACCTTCTACGCGTAACCAGCCCGAGCTCTCACCGTTAGCTACTGCAAATCTGCCTCTCCGCCCAAAGTCGCCTCGGCTGACCACCCATTCCTCGGCCCCAATCAAGAGTTCATAGGGTAGACTGTTCCAACAGGCCTACGACTGACCATCTCTTTGCGTCGCCATGAATAACCCAGAAAGGCTGTTTGCTTTCTCATCTGAAGAACTTCCGCCTTGACCCAACGGTCCCGCAGCAGTTTGTCTCTTGGGCGCTTGTGTTCTTTTCGCCCGACTCTTCTGACGTACCATTTGAGAAAGGCCTTTTCGGCATCTTTCAAAAAGGCATGATCGTCAATATCGCGATCAAATCGTTTCAATTTGGATGAATCGTATGGTTTGGAGACAAACTCAGTGGTTAGACCCTTCACATCGCTTTCAAAGCCATGCTGTACAAACCTGAGACGGAGATCGTCCAGGTTCTCCGACCGCTCCACTATTTCGGAATCCATTGAATCAGACCAGTCGCTGATCGGCTCGTCTTCTTCGAAATAGTGAGAGTCGGCGTGGCTTTGAATTTGCGGTATCCACTCCGGTCGACTGGAGCGTATTTCTTCCCAAGGAACGCCCCGAAACCACGGGTGAGCCTTGATCTCGGATGCGTCGTTATTAAAAACGTATTGACTTGGTACCCTCTTGTATCCTTGAAGCTTTTCCCAACTCCGTCGAGCATCTTGGTTGCGATACTCGGGTGAAGAGAGGCGGCCGTCCTTGTCCCGAAGCAGGTCCTTGATCAACTGCTGGCACACTCTGGAGACCGGAGGTCCGTCGACAGGAAATGCCAAGCTTTTTCGATATTCCTGTCCTCGAAATCAGGAAAATATTCAATGGGAAAGACTGTTCAGACTTACGAGGATGTTTTGTTTGGTATAGTGGCGACCCTTCTCGGAGAGAAACGGCGTATGCCCATATAGGCATTCGTAAAGGATGATTCCAATGCTCCACTAGTCGCATCTGCCATCGTATCTTTCTCCCATGACCACTTCTGGAGCCATATACTGGCTTGTTCCAACAATTGAGCGGGCCAAGGATCGGCGCGTCTCTCCTGTTCGCCAGCCAAGTAGCTTGTCGACTTTCACAATCTCGTCTGCGTTTGTTTCGACAAAATTGAACGGGCTTTCGAGTCCATCGAACTTGGTTCGGAGCAATTCTGATGGAGGATAGTGTTTTGATGATCCTTCCCGAGATGATTGTCGCCTCGCCTGTCCACCATCACGGGCGGCTTTTCGATCCTCGACATCACCGTCTAACGTGACACCCGTTAGGGCCAGAATTGACTGTCGCTGCCATTTGTAGTAAGAAGTGTCATGGGACCAATGGTCGTCAAAGGCCAGCCCGAAATCCGAGATTTTCAGGTGGCCATCGGCACCGATGAGGAAATTGTCTGGCTTGACATCTCGGTGAATGCATCCAAGTCTGTGGGCCTCTTCGACGCAAAGTATCATCTCGGCGATGTAGAACCGAGTCCTCGACTCGGTCAAGATGTTTTCGCGAATCAGAAGACCAAGAAAGTCACCCCCTGGCATGTAATCCATGAGAAGGTAGAGATTGACTGGATCTTGGAAACTGGATATCAGGGGCACAACCCTAGTCCCGGTTAGCATGGTAGAACAGCGTTTCCCAGCACATCGAGAGGACCCTTCTCACCATTCCGAATTCTCAGAGGCCGCCAGAAAGTCTCTCTCCGCTCGCAAGTGCCCTTCTTGGCAGCTTCGAATCATGTCAGACTTTCGAATGACCTTCATAGCATAAACCTGGCGTCGGCATCGGTCCCATACAAGCTTGACAACTCCGAAGCTGCCTTTCCCGAGAATTTGCAGAGTCTCGAGGTTTTCCAGGTCTGATCCTCGACTAATTCCAGCGCCAGACGTTGTTGACTACGCAATTCTGCAGCTGTAGGTTTTGGCGTTTCGTTGTTCACGGAGGAAATTGGTCTCCATGGCAAAGAAGAGCCTCCAGTAATACTCCCTTTCACTCGGGCCGAGGTGACACCCGTATAGATCCATGTTACATTGGTGTTCGGCTATACGTTGTTCACGTGGTGTGGGACGACTACTCAAGGCCTCCTCGAAGTAATTCTCTAGATAGATTCTGGCTGCTGCTGCTCTTTCGACCGTGTGGACCCTTTGCTTGTCAGAGAGTCGGTTCCAATCCAGCTGTCCCCAGGGTATATATTGAGACGTCGAAGGAAGCTCAAATTCCAACTCAGGGGGCGGGTTCGTGGTGGGTTGGCCAAGTGGATGGTTCGTGACAGGCTGAGCGATTGGGTATCGCAGAGGGCGGGATTGCAATGGCTTGGTGGGCATCCTCCTTGTGTCTATGAACCTGTGAATGAAGTTCTTTCTGGTGGACCTAGCACTGCCCGAGGACTGTAGGTCTGCATTACGTGTCAGCTGGTGTTGATATGCCCTTTGAAGAAATCTCTACCTACCTTGATGATGATGACGATGTCTCCCCCTGAACAAATGCGTCAGTGGGGTGGCCTGACGTCGAGAACGGGGACTCCAAAGAGTGTGCTGTGCCTGGCCGTCTACTTCAGGGCCGAGGTCTGTTGGGAGTGTGTGGTTGGCGTCTATGGTCGTTGCCGTAGGGGTCGGATTTGAACGTACGACGACACTGCTGCGGACAACTTGTTGATGCATGATGCTTGATATCGATGGAAGAACTATTAGAAGAGGTAACGAGACCTGTTGGTATAACGATCTGTGATGAATGGGGGAGTCCAAATGAGAGGCGGACGAACAGTCCGGCTACAATGATGGATGTTTGGCCTATTGGCAGGTTGTCTGAGAAGATGTAGGCAACCTACTATAGGGACGAGGAAGGATATGCATCGTTGTTCTCAGCTTTGGATTCAGCAGAGGACTTGCCAAAAGCCGCCAGGCTATTTAGGCGTTGCGCTCGGTCTAGAGGACAGGTAAGGTCCCTTCCGGACATTCACCAACGAGGAAAGGGTGCAGATTGGGCCTGCCCCAACAGCTCAATACATCAAAAGGAAAGTCCAAGCACGATCAATCACCAAGGGCGTACGCTCGCCGGAAGTTTGGATCAAGGCAATAAGTAAGGAGACTTTGTTTTTTCGAAAAGGAGACCGGAGCTAAGTACAGACCGACCGGAAGAAAACCATCCATGTCCGGTGAGAGAAATTTCCTACATCAACAGAAAACTCTTTTTGTGATACGCCAACTAATGCAGTGTAAGTCCTCGCCTCGTCATCCCATCAAACACATTCTGCTTCTCGCATCCCACGAGGGGACTGCGGATCTTCGCAGATAGCCACAGGTCGGAGACTATCCATTGCGGCAACGGCGCATTTATCGCGACTCAGCGAAATCATCGCCGCCACACATCATTACGAGGAAAGGTCGGCGTCTGGAACGCCGGGTGCCCAGCAGAGGCACACCATCTTTCAAGGCGTGCCTGCCGGGCAAGTAGTGTAGAATACAGTGGGAAGCATCCTGAATCGGCGTCTCGCCGCCAAAAGGGGGTCATGCTAAGTGAGGAAGCGACCTGTTTACTTGATCTCAAGGAGCTTAACGTCGAAGGTCAGGGTGCTCTTGGCAGGGATGCCGGGAAGGCTCTTGTTGCCGTAGGCGAGGTTGGCAGGGATGGTAAGACGACGCTCGCCACCGATGGCCATACCGATGACACCGATGTCCCAGCCCTTGATGACCTGGCCCTTGCCGGCCTTGAAGGTGAAAGGCTTGCCCTTCTTGTTGGCTAGGAACAGAGAGTTAGCGAAACGACCAGAAAACTTGCATTTGAAATTCAGCGCTTACCATCGAAGACCTTGCCGTCGTCGAGCTTGCCAATATAGCGGACACTGACGCTGTCACCGTTCTTGACAGCGCGGCCGGTACCAGGCTTGCGCTCGTCAATGGTGACTCCCTGGACGACCTTGACGCCACCAGCGGGCTTGCCAGCCTGCTTGGCCTTCTCAGCGGAGCCGGTAGGGCCCTGCTCGAGGTTCTTGGCGAACTGAACCTTCTTGTCGGACTTGGGGGTGGTCTTCTCCTCGGCGGCGACGGCCTCACCCTTGTTGTTCTTGAGCTTCTTCTTGTCCTTCTTGGAGAGCTTGGTCTCGTCGTCGGCCTTGATGAGGTCGTCGAGGCTCTCGGCGGCGCGCTTCTTGCCCTTCTTGCTAGTCTCGACCAGCTTGGGGGCCTCCTCCTCGTCGGTGTCGACCTCCATGACGCGCGGGTCATCGGTGTCGTCAAGCTCGTCGCTGTCCTCATCGGGCATGCCGTACTCGAGCTCATCGGGGGACAGGTCGTACTCGTCGTCGTCCTCATCCTCGTCGGATCCCTCCTCCTCATCATCGTCGATAACGTAGTTACCAGTGAGGTGGACGGTGTGGGTACCAGAAACGACGAAGAAGACCTTCTCACCCTCCTGGACGGTGATGTCAAGGGGCTGCTGGTAGTTCTGCGCGGTTGTTAGCAATGAGTTACTTTTCCCAGGCTCGCACGGTCTATTCGCAACTTACGCGCTCGGTGTCGAGGGTGCAGATGACAAAGTTCTCGAGGTCAAGGCCCTCGTCATCCTCGTCATCGCTGTCCTCCTCCTCCTCCTCATCATCGTCAGAGGCCTTGCCCTTGCCCTTCTTGCTGGACTTTCCGTTGGGCTTGGCATCGTCCATCTCCTCGTCAGACTCCTCCTCGTTGCCGACAGCCTCAATCAGCTTCTTCAGAGCCTCAGCCTGCTTCTGCTTCTTGGACTTGGAAGGGTCGCTGGGGCCTCCGTTGGGCTCGTCATCGTCATCAGACGACTCGTCTTCGTCACCGTTGGCGTCAATGAGAGACTGGAGGTAGTCCTCGTCGATCTCGTCATCCTCGCCGGCCTCGAGGTCGTCACCGAAGCGCTGCTTGACGAGGCGAAGGGTAGAGCGGGGGACAGCAGGAATGTTGCCATCAGAATCAGCCTCGGGAGCCGCAGAGGGATCAATGGCGGCCATGGTGATGCGGAACTGGGAAATCCCAAGGTTAGCAACTGTGAACAAGTAGTGAACTGCGCCCGCCTAGCGCAAGCTGTGACACCTGGACAGAAAATGCGCTCAAGTGCGCATAGGCAAAGAAACAAGGCAGAGAGATGCACATACAGTGGCAGGGAAGTCGGGGTTGGCGGGGATGAGGACATCGCCAGCGGGGATCTCGAGCCCGTAAAGAGCGACAGGAAGCTGGGCCATTGTGCTGGATGTGAAGGTGGTATGTGAATCTAGGAAGTAAAAGTTGGTGCTCTTGCACTTGTTGATCTCACTTCAAGGAGGTCAAGAATGAAAGACCGTTTATTCTTGAAGGGGTTGTTTGGGGGTATGGAAAGACTGGGAAGAGGAAGAAGATGGGGTGGGATTCGAGTGTGAGAGGGAGGTTGTACAGAAAAGTCAAGGCTCTTGAGACTTGAAGAGCTTTTGCCTGAAATTTTTTTCCACTCGACGACCAGACGGAACTTTTTTTTTTTTCTTGGTCTCGACCCCACCGCTGGCGGCGCTAGTGGTGCCTTATCCTGTCTTATCGGTCTTATCGGGCCATGGCAACCAAGGCGCAACGGCAGGGAAGGTGCGTCTGGGGAAGGAGCTGCATTGGACCCTTGCCCCCAAATGCTCCAAAATGCCCCAAAAATGCCCAAAACGACGTCTTCACCGGCGCTTTTGTGGACGGTGAGCACCCTCCACTCGTACACCGCTTTCTGCCTGGACTTGGTGCTGATGCTGTTGACGAAGTCTGCGCTGCCTTCTCGCCTTTGTTGGTTTGTTGCGCCATCAAATTGAGACTCACCACATAGTCTGACGGGATCACGATGGTAAGTTGGCTTGAGTTGGGCAAATCCGTGTTCTTGTTGTTACCAGATGGATCTCATCGTTAACAAATTGATAATGCCTCTCTTCTATGTTCGTGAGTCTCCGCCAGCATGCAGACTAGCTGTAATTAATTGCCTTACTCAATCTACATGGAAGCAGCCATGTCTCATTCTCCCAGTTTGTCTCCTAACTCACCACATCTTCCAATATCAAATGTCCCTTGTTGAAGTCTCTTTGACTCACTTACTCGGTTTCACAAACCAAGCCTTGACGAGCAACCACACAAATCCCAAAGTAAACCTCGTCTGCCCCTGTTCATATATCTGGCCCCTCTCCCCAACTTCCGCCATCTTACACGCAATCTCGACAATCGGCACGGGAAAGAGGCGCCTCTCGCTGCTCCGAGCGTACGCTGCCACCAGATCGTTCCCGTTCGTGATACCCCCTGTGATATACAAAGAATCTTTAGCAAACCAAACAATGGACAAAGAGAAGAGAAGAAGAGAGAGAGAGAGAGAGAGAGAGAGAGAGAGAGAGAGAGAGAGAGAGAGAGAGAGAGAGAGAGAGAGAGAGAACGAAAGATGAAGGGGAAAACATACCACAGCTCCAAAAATTCCCATCCCGACACCATCGAAACTCATCCCCCACAAACATGGCCCCCGGAAACCTTTTCCTCAAAATATCCTGCAACCCTCTCGGCCCGCATACCTTCCTTCCCTCCAAAACCCCCGCAGCACCGCATAAAAACGCTCCCGTACAAACACTCAACACATCCGTCGTCCTCCTTCCTTCCTCCTCCTCCTCCTGAACAACATGCTCCCTCAAGAATCCCAGCGTATCTTCATCCCAGCTCGCCCCCGGATCCGGTCCGGGCACGAGCAAGATATCTAGCATGCCCGGCTGTACCTCCGGGCTGGAGACGTCGTGTGTGGGCTGGATCTTGACGCCTGCTGTGAGGGGGAGGAGCAAAGGACGGCGGTGCTCTGCTCTATCCGGGCCCGGGTCCGGGTTGAAATTCGGGCTGCTGGCCTTTGCAGTAATGTAAAAGATCTCTACGCTCGGCGCCAGTTCTGGAATGTGTTTGGGTATCATGGGTAGACCACCCAGGTACTCTCTCGACATCATAAATAGGACGTCTATGCAAGCCATGTCGAGGAGCTGGCACTCAGATGGGATAAAGACCCCGATCTTAACCACCTCGGTACCGCCTGCCATTTTCTTTTTCCGTATTTATTTGTGAAAAGGGTGAAGCAATAACCTGAATGGGTGGCTAGAGGGGTTCGACCTTGTCTTTGATAAGTCGTGACTGTCTCGGTATCATCGTCAAGGTATCATGGCCATGCCCATATCTTTATACACGAGCAAAAAAGCCCATCAAGCCCCCAACTCCGTCCTCCAACACCGAAGGCGCCGTCCTCCACTTCGCGGCCCGGAAGTCCATCGGCACAGTCAATAGATTCCATGCACCACCAAGCAAGGGACGCTGAGCCGCCGGTGGCTGCAGCCGCGGAACCTGATTGGGCCCTCTCCCTTAACTTCCGAGAGGCTTCGGGTTTTCTAACGGCTCGGCCTCAGTGGTCCGTCTGACGGATGATCATTCATTGTAAGTAAGCTGACTTGGATGGACTTCTCGTACACTGCTGCCCCTATCGGGGGCATCTCGAATAATCGGCTGCGATCAATTTCAGTGCAGCTAATCACGGAGCTTTCTCCGGGTGACTCTAGGAACCACACGTCAGAACCGACATCTCACAATGACGAAACATGTTCATCCAGGAAGCACAGCATGGAAGTTGAAACTCAAGTCACCAAAGTCACTGGCATGGCGGTTGCAAATAATGTATAATTCACATCAATTTTATCGTGGCAACGTTCTTCCTGTTAACCACGCCGTCCAATCCACGTCTTAGCGTCAATTGCCATGATCATGAATCGTTCTATGTACACACAAGATTAAATATTATACGACTCGTCCAAATTAATGGGCTCCGGGATTCTGTTTGTGTCGGCCTCCCATGTTTCTCTTTGAAGCCCATTGTCAGCTGTTCCTGCTGGGCTTGTCCCGTCCCCAGCGGATGCAGTCGTCTTTCGTCACCATCCCGGCATCTTCCTGCCGCTGGTGGGTGAGCCTCGTCATGCTGGCCTGGATATGTCCGACTCCTTCGTTTCCACTTCGTCTTCCATATAAACGAATGCACTTGGACGGCTCTCTCGCTCGTCAAGTTCCTGCGTATTGCTCCGAGAACTCCGGTTTGAGGCCCCATGAATCCCCGAAATCTCTAGAATGCCGATACCATGCCATGCCATGCATATCAAGAATGCCCTCATCTATTTACACGTGAGGCTCTTGGGAGCCCCAACTTCTTCAAACACGTAATCGAGTTAAAAACCGCCGCTTGGTGGGTCTTCCTGGAATTGGGCTGTGCGTCGAATCGAAGGAAAATAATGTGAGCCGTCGACGCCTCCGCGGGGAGGGCGCGGTCCTGTCGAAGGGTAGATAAAAGTTAACAAGGAAATAATTGTCGTTACGCGATTTCGGCTGCCGTGAGGGATTTCGCTCTTTGCCGCGTGACCTTTTTGCTGACCGAGTAGACCAGGTCCAGCGTCCAGAAGTGGCACAATTGCGCTTGGGCGCAAGGGATAGCACCGTAGAGGGGAGCGACGAGCGGAACCATTGCGTAGTCAATGAAGTTCTTCTTGACGTTGCGGTAAGAGAAGTTCATGCCATCAGACAGTCCAGCCTCAGTCATCTCGCGTTGGCGGGACTTGACGCAGATGCGATGGAAGCTCTCATACAAGAACAAGTAGAGAGCAATTTCCATGAAACCGAAAGTGCGCAGAATATTGCACACGTCGAAAATCCAGCTGAGGTGTGCCACTTCTTTGTTGCCCTCCGTGACCCACACGTACAGAGTGGAGGAGATGACGAAGATGGTCATCTGAAGGGGGAGGAAATGAGCCTCGAAGAGACGGTGGAACAGGTAGACGATACGTTCCCAGTTAGGAGACTGCAATGTGTCGTGGGTAACGTCGGAGAAGACACCGCTCTCTCTGGGCTGTTCGGGGTCCTGCTGGTCCAGCTGCGTCTCGGGAACGTACACGTCGGAAGCGTCGCCCGTGGAGTTGTGCAGCGGACGGAAAGCGCGAGAGGTGTGCTTCCTTTCCTGCCAAAGTTCGACGACCTTTCGGAGCGCATATCCAGAGTCGAGAGCACCCCACATGTGTCTCATTGCCTGCTTGTAACGAGCCTGCATATCCGAGTAGATACCGCGAAGACCCTTGGAGCCATCACCACAGACGTTGCTCTGGCTGACGGGGCTGACGACGGTTCTGACGGTCAAGTTGCCGTTGAGCGCGAAAAAGCACTTGAGGTACATGTGCAAATCTTCTCCGATGGCCTCGTTATCGCAATCCCAGCCGCCGACGCGGTCAACCAGTTCCAAGGGGACAGAGTAGACGGAGGTGGGAGGCGCGATCGTAGATCCAGAGTACAGTCCCGACATTCCACCGGCACCCCAAAGGATGTCGGCAACACGGACAATGGCGGGAACACTGTGGGCATTACGGTCGAAGATGATTGGAGCCGCGTACATGGTGGTCTTTGCTGTTTCGGGATAGGCCAGGTGCATAGTAGTCAGTAAGGCGAAGAAGTTGGATGAGAGGTGACTGTCGGCTGTACACCCCACGTTTCTGTCAGCGAATCATCCTACATGCGCAAAAATTGGAAACATTGACTGCGGCAGATTCTCAGAATCTGACATGCGCACGTACCGTCGAGACCCGTAATGATCACATCCTTGCGGGTGGTCATTGAATATTTTTGGCTCAATTTGCGGGCAGCCCAAGCCACGTTGCTTCCCTTGCCAGCAGATTCACCGGGGATGTCGGACGGATGAATGGTGTAGTCAATGCTGCGGAACTTCTTGACAAACTCCTGAATGAGAGTCATGGCCTTAAGCTCGACGTTGGGCTCGCGTTGTTCCATTCCCAAGTAGACCTAGCAGGCAGGTGTCAGTTTTTGCACGCGTATCAAATGAGAGCGAAAGTAGTCGCTAGATCGGTGATCGACGACCAGGCGAATTATTCGGCCAAGTGGGTGTCAGAAGGTACTCACATCGTAGCAGCTGCGAGCTTGAGGGTGCGAAGCCAGAACCTCGAGAGTCTCCTTCAGGGTGTCCATCTCCTCCTTGTAGTTGGGAACGATAATAGCGTGGATGACGCGGTCGGGTTCAGCATCACCATCGGTGTAGAGTTCGGGCTCGGTGTCGCCAGCTTCGCTGCTAGACGCAGACCCACCGTGGGAGGACGTCAGGGTCTCAGAGCTGGACAAAGAGGTTGAGGAACCACGGCGACGGTGGGAGAGCCTGTAGTCTCTCAGTGTCCTGTTGCGAGCGATCTTCTTCAGCTGGCGGGTCATGTCAAAGACAGCCCAGCAGCATCGGAGAGGGAACGCGAAGACGAGAATGTGGATAAACAAGCAGTAGTAGGCGTAGATTTCGGTCCAAATACCAGCGCCCTTGGTAGTCGAGGTCGAAGAGCTAAGGCTGTCCTCGTGCAAATAGTTGTGTGCCGAAGCGGCTGATTCCTTTGAGATAACCCAGTAACTCAGACCCAACAAGCCCAGCATGGCCAAGCCGCCAACGCGGCGCGAGGCCCAGGCCAAAATCGATGACATGGTGACGGCCGAAGATGATGCTTCGGTGAGGCGCGTTGCCAGCGATAGAAATGTCGACGAAGAGGCGATAACTGCGGGAGGTCGACGACGGAAGGCGACGTTGTCTGTCTGCCGAGGCAAGCACCCGATAAGAGGCTTGGAAAGATGTGCGAAGCCTGACTGGGGGGTTTGCTCGAGGGAGAGCGAGACCAAGAACTGCAGACAGCAAGTGGGAGAGGGAGAGAGGAATGAAGAGGGAAGTAGGGCGGAGGACGAGAATCAGGAAACCTCTGGGCCGAAATTGCGAATGGCACCTGAAGAATTGGGGCCCTACCGGTCGAGGTCGATAGTGGTCTCTCGCGCTCTCTCACTCTTTCTCTGGAAAGGGTTGAGTGTGGATGAGGAGGAAAGCAGGTGACAGACAGGAGGAAAGGGGGGGAGGGGGTAGAGAAGGAGTGAAAAAGGGAGAGACTGAGAAGAATTAGAGTGCGTCTTGTCGGATGATATTCACGAGGAGGATAGCGACTAATGGATTCGGGGGACGGACTGAGGAGGAGAGAAAGAGGGAAGAAGTGCAAGGTAGTGAGAGTGGATGATTTCTTGCATAGGGACCTGGGCATGGAGGAGGTGGACACGGGTACAGTAAGGTCGAGTCTGCTAAGCTAAGGCAAGGTGCGGTAAGGTCCAGTCCAGTCCACCTCAGTGTCCCGCGGGTGGTACACTAATACTTTGTACAGACAGGTATTGTAAGGCAGGCCGGGTACGCAGTCACCACCTCAGCGACCACTCACCAGTAAGGTCAAGCAAGGTAGACACAAAGACATGAAGACACAAAGACACGAAGGGGGGCGGCAGAGAAAGGGGGCGCGCTGATTTCTCTGAGGTGAGGTGCGGCGTGCGGCGTGCCTTGTTCTGGACTCTGTATCCGTACCTGCTCCCTTTCCCTTTCACACGCGCACCTCAGAGCTTGTTTGCGTTGGACCAGACCAGACTGGTTCCAGATGGGACGTGGGGAGGGAAAAAGGGTCGCTGGTATCCAGTACTTGCGTCGGCCCAGCGCCACAGCCTGATTCTGGTGCGAGGGACCCGCTGCTGGATGTACGGATACCAAGAGCCATTCTCTACTCCGTACCCCCCCAACTTTCTCTGTTTTATTTCCATTTTCACAAAAACAACGGCACTACTTAAGGTACTTTGGAGCATAGCGCCTGCCATCAATAAAGTGATGCTGAACTTCTACCGCCCCAGACACCATCTACACCATCTACACCACCTACCTTACGTGACTACCTAGGTATAGAGGAGGTGCTCGCCGCCTGCAAGAGGAGGTGGGAAGACGTGCAGCTTGCAAAATCGTCGAACTGGGGCCTTGGACAGGACAATGGGGGTAGTGGAAGCCTCTGGATTGGCGAGACGACGAGCTGGGGGTTTCCTAGCACCGGTGATGGCAGCCGTAACAGACCGGGGGGTTACTAAGGTACCTTGATCCGGAGAACTGCAGCAGATTGAAGGTGCCCTGGTGAAGAGGCGAGGCAGGCCGCAGGCCGCAGGTCGCAGGTCGCAGAAGGCAATGAAAGAAAAAAGAGAGAAGCAAGAAACAGAGCGAGGGTCGAGATGGTCTCAGTGTGCCAGAAACCAGACTAGACTGGTTTTGGATGAATCTCTGGATCATGATTGGCTCTTCAGAGGAGAAGATCGCCTTTGATTGGCCTGGGCGGTAAGGGCCTGGGGTATGCCGTGCTGAGGCTAGTGCATCTCGCCCGCTCGCATCGCATCTAGTGGGCTGCCTCTGCGCCTGCCTCACTCCCATCCTCTGCCTCGATAATTACTTTAGCGCGAAAAGAGACGTGGGCCCATGGAAAGCGGCAGGGATGGCACGGATATACGAACAAGGTCTGGTTGCCTTGGGAATTTTCTGCGCTTGTACTGAATCGCCCCGCGGGAAATGAGAAGTAAGAAATTACCGAGTAAGCGGTCAATCGTGAACACTGTGTACAGCCAGGATGTATCGTTGTGAACTTGTGCCTCTTGTCCCTTTTTCTTTCTTCTCATCCGCCCTGTTGCTGATGACCAATCGACATCGAATTACGGAGTACGGAGTAAGGTAGCGTTCGTTGGTCTCGCTTCGTGACAGCTTCTCTTGCTGATAGCGATAACGATTCCAAGGAAAGCACTGCCATGCCATGCGACTCAAGGGCCTCATTATCATGTTATAGTATTTTGGGCCAAGAAAGTCTCATACTCTGCGGGCTTGGCCAATATTCCGAGTATGAGCGGAGTCAATATTCGAAGACAATTCTAGGCAGTCGAAATGCAGAACGTAGGAACCCCTTCAGATAGATTGACTGGGCCAGCTTGTTGTGATGATGGAAGTGTATTGGTGTGCGACACTGCGTCATGATCGAGTGCGAGCCGACAACACTGGACAGGACAGGAGCTTGTCGGGCACTGCACAGCCGCACTTGGCGGGTGGCTTCCCTCAAGCTCAATTCGAACCTTCTTTGTGTTGTCTCATCTCTCGATTATAGTCTTGATGCTTCAGTCTTGGTTGATATTCTCTTCTTACTTGGGCATGTCCAGCCTCAATGCCGAGAGTCTCGTCTCTCAGACCATCACCGTACGGATAAGGTGATAAGAAGTACCTCACTGGCCGCCTTGCAACAAAAGTAAGTGCTCCGTACATAGCTACGAGTAGGTAGGTATTCAGAAAAAATAGAGCCAACAGTCGCACCTTTTACGACGACTGGGACGCAATTTCACAGAGACCCCGTACAGTGTGTGATACTCATGCAGCGATGCCAAGTTCATAGGCCAAAGACTGTCTGCAATGCCTGCTGCCTGTGCCTTTTTCCACGCTAGGGACGCTAGAGACGCTAAGCTGCCGTGGGGTCGCTCCTCCCGCTCTGACGGGCTGGCTCGCCCAAACGGGATATTTGAGAAGTACCTCCCCACTAACAATTTTCAATTGCTCGATCCGGGGGCGTCACAGTGCAGTGAAAGGCCCACCTTGTGTGCTTTTTTACCGCCAGCTCTCCACCTCACCAAGCAACCCAAGCGTAAGGCAGGGGAGCTGTGATAGGTACGTACAGCCAACAACACCTAGCACTCCTGAGTCCTAGGTAGGCACAGAGTACGGAGTACGGTTACAAAGTGCAAGGCAACTCGACATCCGATGCTGGATCCCGCGGACATAGTACGGCGCTCCCGCGATGCGATGACAAAGGGCACCACCGTCCACGGCACGCAGGCCGCAGGAGTAATAACTCATCAACAATGGAGACTGGAGCAGGACCCGGACCCCCCCAATACCCATTCCATTCAAGCCCTGCAAAAACATACAAACAAAGGAGGTCCAGAGCTCAACAGCCCATAATTGTTTCTGATTTCTCGTCGATGACAGTCTCGGTGGTGGATGCCCAGCATGGGAAAAGTGTAGAGTCTGGCCGGGAATACTCAACAATGCAACAAAGTATTCCGTATTACCCCGTACTCTGTACGAATACTTTGGGCTTCTGTGGACTCGTGGAGGAAGATTGTTCTTTGTGCCGGGTTGTGAAGCTTAGCCATCCTTAGTGGAAAGCCGCTCAGGGGGGCGGTGTACTTCGTACGTAGAGGGTATCCGTAGTCAGCAGTCGAAGCTTAACCTCACAACCGGACGTGGGGCTTTCCTTTCCTTATTTCCAAGGCTGGCACTTATCACGCCTTCCTTCTTTCCTTCCAGTTATAAGGTGTCTGCTTAGTCAATATCTATCATAAGGTAGAGGCTAATGCCAATGAAAGGTACAGGCCAAGTCTGAATGAGTACCTACGCCTGTGGCAGGCGATCGGTGAGATAGCCTCCACTGACTACTTCTCTTGACGATTATACCTCGGGTGCTTCGACTTCATCGGCTTCCAGTCTTGTGCCTTGATCTTTCCCGCAGCCAACCTTGCCAGACCAGCAAATCAATCTCTTCTGGAAACTGTTTCCATCTCCTTGCTGCTACGGAGCACCAAAGAGGTAGTTCGACATGTATCATACTTGTGCGAGGCAACCGCTGTGTTTGTGGCCATGTCATCAAATCCGTATCAGCTGCCAGCGGTTGAAATGCGCCAAGTCACGCCCTCTCTCCCGAGCAGCTCACATCACGAGCTCAAGAAGACTATGACCCAAGCTACCCTGGAGCTCAAGATAGTCGATAATACCATCAAACACCCAAAGCTCAATATCGCTAGTTCATTCTTAATTCAGTCAATAACGACGCCTATCGCTCCTACGATTCGACCGTGCACTGATCCTCCGGCTAAGGAAACATGCCGAGTATTCTTGGAAGCAGTCAACACTGCGACTATCCGCGTTTGCCAGGTCGGCGAGGACGAGCAGCCACGCGCCATCGATACCGCCTCTTGTGCCACAATGCCACGAGACAAAGACGGTATCCAGGGCCACTGTCGCCGCTGGACCTATGTTATGCTTGCGTGCGAAGACGAATCGAAACACACGGCGGGCAGATGCTGCTGGCGGTACCACGCTATCTCCGCGTCACAGACGATGCTTCAGGTCTGGGAGACTTACCTACCGCTGCGGCGCTGCAGGATGCTTCTAGCTGCCGGGACCACATGCAAAGTGGTACGTAGGCACGCCAAGCGGAGCAAATCGTGGCTCAGTCTGAGAGCCCGCACACCTCTGGATCTCGTCGCGACACCGTCTAATGAGCTGCAGTCTCGCAGTCTCGCAGTCTCGTAGTGCCCATTGGCTCCTTCAAGAGTGCTTCCCCAACCCCAGCTCTCACAAGCGGCGCCGCGGCTTGAGCTGTCGACAGGCGGCGGGTCAAAGGAGGGGGGCTTCCAGCGTGGCAGCTATGGCTGCCGTCGTCATCCATCACGGCTATGCTGCGGCATTGTCGTCATAGGGCGAAGAGATGTGACCCTAAAGAGACGAGGTCATGGGTAGCTAGACGACGAACGACGACGATAACCAGCGAAACGCGCCTACACAGGCGAGATTAGTCACGGCATGGGCAACGGGACTACAAGGCAGCATGCTTGCTAAATGTCATCTCATGGCATGCATTTTTCGACCAGACCTGTCGCACACCTTTCGCCCTCCAGGGTTCGCACCGATGATTACACTCTGCTATGCTAGACTAGCTTGCGGTCGAGGCCCCGCGGACAATGTTCTTAGTCGTCCCACCATCGCCAAACCTACACTTGGTGTCATCCTGCGCTGAATCTGACGTTGTCCAGTCGGTCCAATCCAGTCACAGTGCGGCCCTCCCGCTCACTCACAGTCGGACTGGAGAGCCGACGTGGGATCTCGGGGCGTGCTGGGATACCGTTGCTGCGAAATGATGGGATGCTGAGACACGGTCAATCTCCAATTTTCCTCTTCACCTGGCCTCTCCGGCTTCCTCTTCCTCTGTCTGGCCCCTTTGCAGAGTCGCAACCGCCATGGAAACAAAACAAAAATTGAAGTCCAAATCAGCAGACGAAAATCAGGGCTAGGTGCTCTGGCCAGGCCTCTACCAGGGCCCCAGGGTTGCAAAACTGTAAATGTGCCTGTCAAGATTCAGCAGTGACGGGTCACGGCAGCCGGGGCGGGAAATTTCGACCTGCATCCCGTTGACTTGGATGCCCTGGTCACACTGTCCGATATCGACATGTGCCCGACAAGTGCATATCATCAACTATCCATCTCACCAGTCTCGATCACGCTCAGACACCGGGCGGTTGGCCTTGGTCAATGCAGGTTCTGCGTGGCCTTGCGAGCCGCATCAACATCATCAAATCAACGCCGTTGGCTTCTAGCGCATTTCACCAGCCCCGTGCTGACTGCATTCAAGCCGTCTTGATATGCTCGTGCTATCAATGGCATCTATTCATGGCCTGGCTGATCTAGCGCTTTCTATAAACGCCTGATGAGGATTGGGAGCGAACTGGCAAAGAGACGTGAGGTCAGACGAACAACATGCATTTAGCAGGTAGGGCATGCCAGAGACAAGCATTCGCATACTTTGTTCGTATGGAACACGAGAGTACCTACTACGACAGACGATTCACCTTGGGACGATGTGGCGTCGAGTAGGCTGAAATCCTGGTACGGATAGCTGACGGTGCTTATTCCTCCCGAGCAAATACAGGCCGCGATATGTCTGAAAGACTGAAAGAAAGGATACCGCTGGCTCTGAGTCCGCTTCAGGCTAATTCTTGTATTGTTCGCTCGTAGAGTTGCCCCAGCCGCACTCCATGTCTACTCAATCACAAGCCAGGACTTGCTTCTTCCGTAATGAACAATGCGACATGCTGGTCCGAGGATTATCGGATATGAGCTTTTGGTCACCAATACGATGAGCCAGCGCATCGATTGCTTCGTAATTCACGCAAATGCCGGACGCAATTGCTCCTTCAGCTTAACTCCGATCTTGGCGAAATCGTTCCACTCGCGGCATCTAGAGACTGGACCATCTCTCCAGCAGCCGACGCAAGCACAGGGAGCCTTGGAAGGGGATCCCTATTCCGCGGACCTCCACCATAGGGGTCAGCAGTGAGCACTGGAGCAGCAAAGCGACAGGCGTAATGTCTATCCGTACGGTACGGGCACTGGCTATGATGAAGAAAGTCAGCAACCAGGAGAATACCGAGGAACACCTAGGTAGGTATTGCAGGAGGACCTATAGGGGGGTTGCCGGATGGTGGGGTGGGCGACCACTTGGCGGGCCGGCGTTTGAGATTGAACGTTTCTGATGCTCCGAATCTGACTGGCCGACTGGACCAGCAACCTGCGAGGCAAGACATGGAGTTCCAGGTCTCCTGCCCAGCCAGCCGGCCGCGTTAGAAGGAAAATGGTCCGGGTGCGGCTACCACCATGGTTTTGTGTCCAGTCTTCGGGCTTTCCTGGGGGAATCGGGGCGCCTCCTCGAACACCATCTCGCGTCGATGCTCGCCGTTGAACCACCCCCATCAACGCCGGCCGCCCCCTGGCTAGTTGCCATTGCGGAACCTACGCCGACCCGCACCCGCGGATCGCCATAATGGTAGCATAACCACCACATGTAGATACCAACGGCAAGATGTCGGAAAAGAGGAGTTATTGAGGGAACGGAGAGAGAAACGACCAAGGGAACGGAGCTACGCACCACACAGTGTATCCACCAATCGACGATTCGATTCTGTCGCCGTCCAACGGCTACTTGGCAGGCCTTGGCTTAATTCGTCACTCATCACGATTCACGACTGTGTATTATTTAGAAGTTTGCTGAGTTTTGCTGCCTTGGCTGTGCCAAATTTGCAAGTCACATTTCATCGCCTTCATTACTTTTTTCACTGAACCGGGAACGCGAAGCGGGAACTAGAGAGAGGTTGTAACTAAGGTTGGGAAAATCGATCGTGGCATACAGGCCTCCATCTCCCAGCTCAAGTCGAGACATCGATGCGTGTCCGGTACGGCTGAAGCATCCGATGTCTTGACTGTGAGTTAGAACTCAGCGTGCGATAGCTCCCGCAAGCCTCAGACCAAATTGGTGGATTCGTTGCTCCTCTCGGAAAGCTACGTCCTCCACGCTGCAGAGTACCTAACCCACGCATGGCGGACGGGTTGCCCTTGAGACACCGAATCCATGGACCAATGTGGCACTCAGACTCGTCCGGTCACAAGTGGCATGTCTCAACAAGTTGCGATTCAGAAGTTCGCCCCATCATACCCGTCTGCGTACGCATCTGCCCGTTTACCACCGGGCCCGTCTTGTCGGCCGACGGGGTCCTGCTATACTCCAATGCGGGAAACAACTTTGAAACAAGCCCTGCGAGACAGTCGAGATGGGCATACTTTTTCTACATACAGTACAGGATGAAGCTTGCAGGACAGCGTGCGTGGCTTCGAGCAAGCAAGAACGGTTGATGAGGTGTTAGGGGACCATTATGCCGAACTTGATTCCTGCAGCGAGTTGCCGCGTTCATGTTCCTCGGGGCTTCTCGAAGCAAACGGTCGAACGACTGAGATATGGCAATATGCGATCCGCGCTGTCGAGGGCCTATTCTCGACCACAAAGGCTCCACGGCTAACCGGCATCCTCCCTCTGCTAACGCAAGCTGTTTCTGGCAAATTGGTACCGTCAGCTATGAAACGGCTTGCCTCAGACGTCGAAAGCCAAAAACAAAAAAAAAACTCCCCGCCCGATGTCTTCCATCCCCGATGACCCCGATGGCCAGACGGATCGACCAACCAGTCACCTTGCGGGACTGATATGTCGCATCATCGGATCCGGGGTGAGACCTTCGGCTGCCCTGTGCATTGCTTCCCCAGCCAACGCGTCACTTCTGCTTCGGCCGGGCGGGCTTCGCTCGCCGTCCGGGCTTATGCCGAATCGGAATCTCCTTGGCAGCCGGCGCGGGTGACGTGAGTATCCCGTTCAAGAGCCGTTGCCTCGACTTTCCCCGGGCCGACCCACCCCCAGAGCTTTTTACACGTCCGACGTCAAACACTGATCACTCATGTTTAAACAAAGATATGTTTCGACCTTGTGTGGTATTGATTATTGGCCTGACGACGTCAATTGTCTGTGGTGACGTTGTGGTACTCAATGAGCTATCGAGGTGCGCATAGAGCCTTTCCTCGGCAATTAGGTCCTCTACGACCCCGTTCGTAATGTTCACTCTTCTCTGAAATCCCATCGGCAGCTCCTCAGAGGCGCAGCGCGCGCGGCTGCGCTGCGTTGTCAGCAACAGAGCCACCCCGGGCCCATCTTGGTCGATTCGAACGCCGAACGGTGCCCGCGGATGCGTGATGCCGCAAAAATACCTTTGAGCTTAGATGCCGTCCTTCCGTAGCCCCACTCCCGTAGGCATGCTCGTGGCTTTCAAGTCAACTCCTCATCCGAAGGCTCCGGATGCAGACTTTAGAGACGATGCAGATATCGAAACGTCGAGCAGAATATTTATCCCCACAGATCTTAGCCTGCGATACTCTCTCCGGCCATCTGCTTGTGTGGCATTCTCGGCTGGTGTGCCGTACTACGAAGTTGAAGCCTCTAGCAGGGCAATGAAGCATACGACCTTTCGGTGCCGAAAACATCTTTCTGCGAGGCAAATCGTGCGGCAGCGGGAGGACTTGGCTCGTACAACGGACGAGTAAACCATCCATTATCGCTTTCATACAACCTTTTCGAAGAGTTCCTGGATGGGTTTCGCAGCCTACACCAACGAAGGTTAGAAATCGGCGCATGAGAAATTCTTCCCAGGTGAAGGTCCCAGCAGACTCCAGCGCTACTTACATCGATGAACTTTTCCAAGTCTTTGTCAAGGTTGGCCAGGTCGTCCTTGCGCTTCTTGTTCTCGGCAATGAGCTTCTGCTTCCTTCCCACCAGCTCGAGTCTCTGCTGCTCGAGGGCTTCCCGTCCCGCCCGCTCGTGGCCGATGCGCGCAATCATCATGGCGTCCTCGTCGGCGTCGGCGTGCTCTGGTTGCTCGGCGATGAATTCTTCGACGGGTATGAGAGGTAGCTTCTGGTAGGTATGGCTGGTGGTTGAGGTTGAAAGGTTAGCTATATGAAAACCTGCTGGCCGAGAGAGAGCACTCCCTCTCCTTGTCCCTCTCTCTCGGCCGCCGTGTAAGATTGGAAAGGCCTTACTCGTAAGATTCGCACGCCTCGATCTCGCCCTCGAGATGGCGCTGCTCGTAGTACAGGTTTTGCAGCTGGAGGTGCAGGCGGTCGACCTCGTGCCGCGCCTCGGCCGTCTGGGCTTTTGTGTCTCTCGCGTTGAAGTTAGCGGAGCGGTGCAGGCCGCGGAGGTGCGAGATGTTTGTGAGGAGGAGCTTTTGCTCTTTTGAAAGGGCGGCTTGGAGCTCTGGCGAAGAGGCTGATGCTGACTCTGAATCTTCGGCCGCGCGGGTAATTTCGGTGAGGAGGTGGAGGAGCTTGGCGGCTTGGTCTTGGGCGTAACCTGAGGTCTGGAGGACCGCGCCTAGTTTCTTGTCTGATACGAGCTCGTTGACTACCATTGTTGCGGTTTCTTGGGGGTGTGCTTTTGTTCGTGCGATTGTGTAAAGAGTTGACGATGAGGGATGGGGAGAAATTTGGTGATGTTTGGTGGTCGGTCTCGGTAGGATGAGTTCGTCAATGGGTCGCCGCTACGGTCGGTTCGTACGATGGCTATCTGTACGAAGTAGAAGGGTTTGGTGAAGCTTCGGGACGAAGTTGGATTTCGTGTCTATCTTGTCGCGCACGCGCAAGGCTGAAGGGAGGTGAGGTGGTTGGGCGATCTGACGAATGGGGACGCGGAAGCTTTTTTCGACTTGGGATGGAATGGGCGCAAACAGGCGGATGGTAAGTGGGTACGATAGCCTTGTGATTTGGTTGCAATGGCTGAGAGTGCGCCTCCAAAGTCGAAAGTTTGGGCTGTGGTGTTGGATCTAGACTGTTTCCGATGCTTTTGCCAATGTTCCCGTAGGTCCCGTCACCACCGTAAGGCACCGCGGCGGACGTTGGAAAATCAGTGCAGCCGCACCGCAGGGCGGATTGTATGGATGGGACCGTGCTTTCCAGGTAGGTAGGCACAGCTTCAGCTCCCGTCCCACCACCACCTTCTTCAACTATCAGGAAGTGAGCCAATTCTTAGCAGTACAACCCGCCACGAGCGGCGTTCTGCTTATTACTCATGCATTTGGACCAGTTCATGCCTGGGCGGATTTCACATGAGACGAGATAAGGGCGGGCCGTATGTCGGGTGAGGCACATGCTTCGTCAAACGCCAGGCAAGTGATACCTTAACACAAGTTTACAGAGCCGAACATTTACATACAAAAGTAAGTAGTGCCCGCCATGGTCGACTAGTCGGAAGCCCTATCGCATAGTGCTTTGGAACTACTACATCATGCTCCGTACCTTGGATGCGATACTAGGGGTCTAAGACAATGGTCTTGGGTTGTCATCACAAGGCACGCTAGGGCGGGAGTTTCCCCCCAGTGTCGAGTGTCATCTCTTTCCAAGCCTTTTGGACTGCCGTGCTGTCCACAGACTAACTAGATATGCATCAGAGGTGGGAAGATCCGAATGGGATTGTAAGGGAAACAGTGATTCCTGCGATTGAAGCAATTGCCTACGTCAGACGAGACCTCAAAAGGCCTAAGAAGGAGCTTGGGGTTCCGTCATTTTTCATTCCTGCCATTTTCAAAACACATGACACTTGATGGATTTCCCAAACTTCAACCCTGTCTGTTTCCTGGCCTGCTTTGTTAGTTTTGATTCTCGGAGCTCTTTTCATGCACATGCTGAACAGCATATCAGCATGGCCTTTTCCCACTTTCCTTGGCCGTTGACGGACCATACCCTGCCCCGTCCAATTCGGACAAGGCATTGACGGCCCGGCCTGGTCGTCATCCCAAGGCTTGGTTTTGACCGTTTCTTCCACATCTTACGCATGGCAAGGCAAAGTCGGCAACGGGGTGCATATTGGCATACATACATGTTCAGAAGATCTTACACTAGTTTGTACCAAGCTGGCAGCTGTTGTGTTTCGATTCTGCAGCTGCTGTAGTAAGCGCACTCGTGGAATGGTGTAGAGAAGAGGGGATGGAAAGAGAGCAAGGAAAAAAAAGGAAAAAAAGACAGTGGAGGTTCCACCGTCCCTTGTGGGAACGGGGGTGCGAGGAACGAACGGATGACGACGATTGGTGGCGCGCATCAAAGGCCCGCCACGCCACGGCACGCGCGCCTTGGGCTGGGGCCGAAGTTTACCGGACCATGCAGGCGCTGTACCCGCTCGGGGACAGCAAAGCGAACCGAACAGCCCTGGGAAAGAAGGTGTCTGTTCATGCTGCTTCCCTCTCAAGTGTGAAAGAGTTTCAGGGCAGTTGCTTTCTTGGTGTGAATTTTTTCTTCTTCGATGATTTGGTCAGTGATCTATCTCTTCCGACTTGGAGAAACTCATCTAGTCTCTGGTTTATGTTGGTCTCATTCTTCATCAAGTCTTTCTCTCGCTCTCGTGTCTTGTTCCGATGGCGGATCTCATGTCCCTTTAGAGCTGCAGAAAAGCCCACATGCCCCGAGATGAGAAGAGCCAACAATCCCGGTCTCTGCAAGGTACCTTACGAATACTATATTCACTTTGCGTAGCTTGGCTTGGCTTGGGCGCTTCCGCAACTCATTCGCAATTCCCTCTTGTAATAATTCCCTCTTGACTGACTCCGTGTTTTTGCTCGTTTTCTCTTTCCTTCTCCTTTCCTTTACGTCTCGGATCGCTCTCGGTATTCGTAATTACCTTGGGTACGTTACCCTGCGGGATACTTGCATCTTGCTGCTGCAACAAAGCACCAATTCAATCTTGGGAATTCGCCTCCCGCTCTGTCTCTCAATCTCTTTCTCAACTGCCAAAGCTCCGTCTCGTATCTCTTGGGTCCATCTCCTTACTGTCCTCCCGTCTCCCATACCTACTTCACAAAGCAAAACGCACGTGCAAAAAGGATTTGATCCGAGGAGCTTTTGTTGTTTGCGCAAGACAAGCACCCAAGAAGTACTTCTCCTCACGGAGCATCCGTACGAAGTACAGTCAGGTCGCAACGAATTTCGCCATCCGATCCCATCCATCCATCCATCCATTCCCCTTGACCTTCCCCAAAAAAGGCACCAGGGTCCAGCTGTTCTGTCGATCTACGGCCTGCTCCTCTCCGTCCTTACGCCCCGGCCAATCCGATTTCCGCATTGTTGAGATCCGCCCGCCGCTCAACTACCTCAACAGACTTAGAACGCTTTTCCATTTCCTGGAGAAGCTGCTTCTTTCGGTCCCTTCTTTTCGGTCTCTGTCTGTATCTGACTGACTGACCTGCATTCCTCTTCCCGTTCCCCTCCTCCTCCCTCCCACCCTCCCTCCACTCTTCCACCCTTCCACCCTTCCACCGCCCGCCCTTTACGCCAAGGTCCCTCCCCTCCCGTTGGGTGTATAAGCCAATAATTGCCATCGCCTCCCGCTCGTGGGCTTATCCGTAAACATCGACTCGTCCCGCAATCTACAAACCACACAAACACACTCCCTATCACCAAAACACCGCATATCTTCAGTGTAACACAACCAAAACCACAACTGCGGGACCACACTTGCACGTGTAAATCGATACGAAGGCGAGACCGATATAGTTCAACATTCCGGAATCCCACCAACCTTTGCCCTGGCTGCGGTCTCTACCGCCGAGCCCCCTAACCCGAACCTTGTTTTCGCTTGAAGCATACCCGAGGTGCTCCTGTTAATACCTATTCCCGCCTTCTTGTTGGCTCAGTTATGGAACCCATTGCCAACATGGCTTCCCTCAAATCACCTTGCAGCGGCGCCGCCATCCAGGACGACGACGACTTTACCACGGCCACCGCCTCTGGAGTTCAGACTGAAGGCTCCGAAGTCGCTCGGAAAAGACGACACTCCCACTTCATTCCTAGACGCAAGTCCATTGTCAACCAAATCATGGATGGCGAGGAGCACTTGCTACTTAAGGTATGCTCGTTTGTGTTCACAAACTTCAGCTGTTGTTCGTGGTTACGTTTCCCGTCAACCAAGATGTTGGGGATGTGAACAAAATTCAGATGTGGTGCGAAGCGAGATGTGCTGACAATACTCCTCCACAGGTCGACCTCTTCCTGACCGAACTGGAACGGCGCCTCGAATTCCTCGAAAACTACGGCGAGCTCACCTTCGACTCAAGCATATCCCGCGCCTTTTCCACTCTCCAGACCGTCCGCGCTCGCTGCTCTTCTGCCTCGGAAGAGGTCCTCGGCGCCGGCCGCAGGCGCCTGCACATCATGGTGGAGACCCTCGAGGCCCGGTACCAGGGCGCCCTGGCCTCGGCTGAGTCCCTGAACGAGAAGGCCCGTGTCGGCATCGAGCTCCTAGACGACATGCTCACCGAGTTTGAGAACAAGGCGCACAAGTTGCGGGAGCAAGGTCTCGCTAATGCCGCCGATACGGCAAGCGCCTTCATGAACGAGGGCCGAAGGGTTGTGGACGAGAGCATCGGGCTCGCGCGGGAGGTTGTCGACGAGGGTATCGAGAGGGCCATGCGCGCCGCTCAGGATCTAGAGGAAAAGATTGCCCATGCCGTCGCAAGGGCCAGGGAGACGAAGCTCATCACATACGACGACCTTCCTATGCCGTGGCGCATCAACCCGCATATTCGTGATGGATACCGCTTTACCGAGTCCAAGCTCGAGTGTATCTGGTCGGCCTTCCGCCCCTCGAACGAGCTCGTCAACATTTGGTCCCACGCCATCGGCCTTGTCATCGTCCTCGCCGTCGCCCTCTACTGTTACCCCCGCAATACCAACTTCCAGTTTAGCACCAAGACGGACATCTTCGTTGCCGCTGTGTTCTTCTTCACAGCATGCCTCACACTGGTATGCTCGACAATCTGGCACACTATGAACGCCGTCGCCGACGTGGACGCAATCAGCATCTTTGCCTGCGTCGATTATACAGGCATATCGCTTCTTATTGCAGCATCCATCGTCACAACCGAGTACACGGCCTTCTACTGCGATCCCGTCAGCCGCTGGCTGTACATGGGCACAACGGCGGTCCTCGGCATCGGCGGCGTCATCCTCCCCTGGCACCCGACTTTTAACGGAGCCGAGATGGCGTGGGCCCGTGTCGCCTTCTTCTGCGGCCTCGGCGCAACGGGGTTCCTGCCGATCCTGCAGCTCTACTTCTCCCACGGGCCTGACTTTGTCTGGGAGTTTTATACGCCTATTGCCAAGAGTATTTTTGTGTACCTTCTCGGTGCCTTCGTGTATGCCAGCAAGATTCCCGAACGTTGGTGCCCGGGCATGTTTGACTACATTGGCGGAAGCCACAACCTGTGGCATCTGGCGGTTCTTGGCGGTATCTTGTTCCACTACACTGCCATGCAGTCGTTCTTTGCGAATGCCTTCAGGCAGGCACAGGGCGAGTGTTCCGTCTTTTGAGGCTGAGGCGTGAACCTATGCCGCGTTGGCTCGGGCATACTCCGATCTGTCAGTCGTGTCCTGCTGCGATACGGTTGTCGAGAAGCTTGCTTTGATGCAGTCATACTACATTTTACTTCTCCAGGGTACTTCATTCCGGAGTTGACTGCGTTTGTCTGCCATTTGAGGCGGCTACATCTCGGTCTTGCTCTAAAACGCAGTAGGCGCCGTTTGGTGTCTATCAGTCCGGCGTCTCTCCGCTCTTGGTCTGTCTCTTCAGGCTGTTGCAGCTTAAATATTGATGTCAATCACCGCAAGCCAGCCATCCGTCTGAAGATGCTGGGACGTCACCTCAGAACCGCCACTTCCTGGTAGTTCGGAGGGACAAGCTGCCAGATTATCAATGTTCGTCAGCCCCTAGAACTTTCAACATCTTGCATGGCTAGACGCGACACTGCTATTCTCAACAAAGTAGCACGCTCCGGTTCCGCTCAGCAGGCGACCTGCCAGCGCGAGCGGGCCATCTGTAGGAGAAGAGGCGCTCCGGTACCGAACAGAAAAACGGTACTCAGCTTTGTGTTGTGCGAACTGTCGATACTATTGCATCGACATGATTTTGTCGCCCAACAACACATGTCGGCATTTAGATTAGAGTGCAATACCTAATGGCCAAAAAAGCTATAAACAGGGTGGCTCTCACCCCCCGCGCTCGTTAATAGAATAGATACCCATCTGTCTAAAACTTGGATCTTTAATGTCTTCAGTTCTCATTTATCGACTCTTTTGTGATAAGCTACTGCTCGTACATGCGTATTCTTTTCTTTAAACAATGGGGATTCGTCACCAGATCAAAATCCGTCAGATGGATCGATCCGCTGCCTTAGCTGCTGGAAGAAATCGAGCCGCAGGAGCCGATTGTTCACATAGCTGTTCAGGGCCAGTGGTTGTAAAGTTAGGCTCATTAGTAGAAAGTAGTGAATAATGTATCGAAATGAATTCAGATAAACACCGTTCACATCAGATTATTTCAGTCGTAGGTTTGGGGCGAGCGGTAAGCTAGAGATGGGGGCATTCGAGCCTTTACTACTTGCTTGATGAAGGCAGCTTAGGACCAATTACCTTTCCAAGTCTTTCTCAATTCACCTTTACAAGGGGCCGTCTCCCTGTACTCGTCGCTTCCTAGGCACGCACAGCCATCAAGTCAGCTTGAACCCCATCACGAAGGCTGTACCATCACCATCATCGCTGCCACCTCTCTTAAAGAGAAGACGGAGAATGACGTACTCGTAACACCAGCCGAGCGAGAAGACAAAGAGCTCTCTGAAGAAGCTGTCGTCACGTTCCAGGAACAGGTCGGCCCAACGCAGAGGGTACTCTGCGCCCTCAACGGCTCAGTACACGCCTTGCCGGCTAGACTGTTCAGGGAAGGGTTCGCGAGGCGGAAGAGACTTGCTTCGATGCCCGCTTGGACGTAGATCCTATCAGCAATGAGACCACAGAGCGATACTGTGGTGCCAACGCGCGCAACTTGAACAACCAGATGCGCGTTGGCAATTACTGGTGCGAGTGGGGCAAGCTGAGGTCTATTCGCAGATAATAAGACACACGGAACCCCATGTGCGTAGCGGCAGTCGGGCGATGCGCAGAGACCAGCATATTTCAGGGGAGGTCCAGGAGGCCCAGGTGGTGGTGGTTTGAGAGTATTAGAGGCTCAACTGGTTTACTCTGCATGTCTACCCATCTGGCTTTGGCTCAGGTGTGAGGGAGCAATTTGATGATAATCTACTAGTAACTTCATTCGTTGCTAGTCATCGCAAGTGTGCAACGATCTAATTCCTTCTCATCAGCTGTCACTCACCGTCCCAAGGGACGAGGTGCATACCTCCAAACGTCGGCGGTGCAATGCTCTGCAAGTCGTCGAGAGTAAGTCTCATCCACAAATCCAAAAAATTGTTCGTCGTCATCTTCATCCAGCCAAAGTATCGCTGTCCACCGGGCCACGTGTTCCTGGGGACGTACTTGGCCGCCACCTAGTCTGCCTGCACGAATCTCACGGATAGGCCAAGGTTCGGTCCAGCCCCGGGAGACGAGATCCAGTATGGTTTCGGGTAGTTCGCAAGAAGAAAGGATGTGAGCACATTTTTATATCAAGCGGTTCCAATCTAGGTGACTCGAGTAGTTCCATCGGTCCCAGATGGCTCAGCTCTTCTTAGCATGTGGGGTGAGGAAGATTAGCAGATTGCAATCTCGCGCTCGCAGGTAGCAGCTCGATTTTGGAGTGATTTAATGTCATAGTGCGAACGGTAGATGTAGGGACAGGTCCTCAGGCCTTTACAACTGACCAGAGTCGAGGCGAGTGATGAGCAGTCTGCGCCGCATCTTTGCGTGTCTTGCTCCGTCTGTGGGAAGGTCTAAGTCAGGCGTGCCCGGCTGGAATGTTCGTGTTGGAGAAGGAAGACGAGGTGGGTAGTCAAGCGATTAACCTCACAACTCTATACAACGCCCAAAGACAAGTCTCGAGACTCGCAGGGTGTCTGGGTCTGTGTATGTCAGCCCACACGCAAGCAACTTCGTGAGATTATAGACTCACACGTTGGCCTACTTCATGTTCAGCACACTATTTCTCTAGTGCTTTAGCCTCCTTCTTGACTTTCAGTCGTGGCTTCTTGTTTATTGCCATTTCGCAAGCTTGCTCGATTCGCGTCGTGTGGTACTTCATAACTTGAGTATAAAACCAGGCATCGTAACCAACGCTATTATTGCCGTACGCTTTCTAAAGCGTGTTCCATAAGAGATATCTCAGAGATAGAAATCAATAATACTAGCAATGGCAGTAGTAATGGCAGTGGGATCCACGATATCGAGGTACATACATCTGATTTCGAGTCAACCGCCGATGCTTAAAATCCGTCACGGTGTTGGGCTGTAGGCGGTAGATTAGTTACCGGTTCGAATCATGGTCAGTCGACTACCGGTTGAGCTCGCATATGACAGGCTGCCCCTGGTAATACGTTATGTCCGTAAGGGTTTTGTTGACCAAACGGCGCAGGTGGGCAGTGTAGAGGGCGGCGCCTTCGACCGACAGGTTAAGGAAGAAGGATAGGGCGTCTGAGAAGGAGAAGCGGCCCTAGAGATAGTAAACGAATCCTATTTTACTAAGGACGAGGTTAGGTTCTATCAGCGAGGTAGCCTCGATCGGCTGCGCTGCTTATCGGACCTTGAGTTAGTAGCATGCGTTCTTGAGTATATTGAGGAGGCCGTAGGAGGGCAAGACGGTTGAAATGTCCTGGTGGGTTGTCAGACATGTGCGTACGTCTTGCACGTGTAAAATGGGATGTATTCTCTAGGTTCCGGTTCTGCTTTCAGAGGCGTGTGAAGTGCTATGTACTGATGTGGCCACATGTGGCTGTGTGCCAACCTGCGTTTTGCTGCGCGTCCTCGCGTTGATGTGCAAAGTACAAGCAGAAGTCTAAGTGCATAGCAGAAAAAGACATGTCCTCCGTGTTCCATGTTCCAGTGCATCGGGCATATCTTTGTCCTTGGTATGGAGGTCGTGGCCGGTATTGTCGCTCTCGTCGACCCAGACGCGGAAGTATTTGTACTAAGGTTTTAAGTGGCAAACTCTTGCGACACCCACTTGCCTGCCCGGTCCATGAACGTTTGCTCGGCTTCCAATCCAACTATTCTCATTTCTGGCTCTTGAAATAATCTCTCAGCTCCTCACCTGAACTGGGATTCACTGATCCATCAAAACCGGTGGTACGCCGCGACCACCCCACATCTCTTGCTCACTTGCCCTGATATGCCCCACCGCACTATTAAGTAGGCTTGATATATGCCAAACCCACCTCTGCCCCCAACCAACTATCACTGGATGCACACATCCACCAATCCCCGATAGTCTAGTGGTGAGGATATCTGCTTGTCATTTGAGAAGTCAACGATTCGCAGGGGACCGGGGTTCAATTCCCCGTCGAGGAGATTCTTTTGCCTTTTGGCTACCTTTTGCGACCTATTACGAGTTGTTTAGACAAAGGATGATGTTTGGGGCTATTTTGAAGTTTATATGGTGACTTGGTGACCTGTGTGGTGATGCAAGGTGGATGTTGGCGCAACACGAAAGGTACGCAAGCTGAGGATGCTGCAGGTTGGATGGCTCCTTCCTCCAGAGATCACAAGGTATATTTTTTCCTTGGAGGGAAGCAATGTCGCCTTGGGGGTTGGTTGTCCATTTTTTCTGGACAAGTCGATGAAGTCGCCGCTCGACCGGTGAGACTTTGGACGACTGCCGAAGCCGGCCATGAGTGACGACTGTCAGTCGAAGGGCTTCCTACCTACTACTTGACTGCTCCAGAAAGTAGACAGCTTCCCAGACGACCCTTCTTTGCATTTGGACTTGTCAGGGCGTTGGCAAGTAGCCGCGACCCAGTCAGCGTCACCCGCGCAGTCACCAGAGTAATTCTCCAGGGAGGCAAGAACGCTGTTGGCTATACTACATCCGGAAACAGAGCTTAATCTCGAGAATGATTATCTGAAAGAACAGCTTATGGGGAAAAGGGAACGCGGCGTACCTGTTCCCATCATTGAATGAAAATAACGGCGGCAAGGTGGCCCGGTCGATGAGGTCTAGGTTGTTTGGGGTGTCTCGTCAAATATTACTCACTTCGACTTTCCGACCGCATGAGAGAGTTTGTCCGATCTAACGACCAGCAGAAAGGTCTAAGAATCATATATTTCGACCTTCTGCTTCAATGGGCTGGCCCAGCGTCCGGGGCCGCTCCCATCGCCGGGTGGAACGCGGACAATGGTCAAGGCAAAGGAAACAATGATCGATCATCTCCTAGTGACTCGGAAAGGAGGGGCATCTGCATCGACGAGCACGTCGTTCCTTCGAGGCAGCTACACTTGTTGGCGATGAGAACGTCCGAGGCTGGCCGTAACAGGACCTAGAAGATGTAGACTAGATCTATTAGAAAATTCCTAGCAGGCTCTACATCTTATTACGATATGAAAGTCGCCTTTGTGATTGCTTGGAGGAGACCGACCACAGAATGATTTCAAAGTCAAGATCCCCGAGTTCGATGCCAGCAAGTCGATCTTGTAACTAAGCTGGTCAGAAGTCGGAGGAGATTAGACGTCCGGCTTCCAAATCATCATCATGTGCTTTCTACGGACGCTACTCTCCGTTCCTTTCGAAATATTACCCAAGGAACAATCCATAAGAACGAAGCTAAGATGAACGCCTCACAGCCCGACTCACTCTAATGTTCCTTGATGGTATCTCTTCTTTCTATACAGGTACTAGACGCAGAAGAGGGAGCCCCTAATCCATGGCGTCACTTTCATCGTTTCTCAGCCACAGTCATGACAGAAGGTCTGACTTACAGAACAAGATCACGGAAACCGGGCGAGCCATAGGACTTTATACTCCACAACCCCCCGGGATCGATGCGAGGATTATGGGCGAGACCGCTTATGGGTTGGTGAGATTGAAAACAAAATGACTGTAGTGAAACACAGGTACCCTAGAAGAGAAGCAGTTTACTCGATGAACGTGGATAGAAGTACGGCCTGCTGCTGAATAACCGCTGAAGTTGACAAGTCTCTGGATCGATTGTTTGTAGAGCAAAGGCCACTTGAGAACCCGACAATAGATCCCGAGATCTGAAAGCGGGCTCTTTCTCCCAGGCTGTGTATCATCCCCAAACTCTTCATCCAGAGTCTTGAGACTCGTCCAAAGATGGATGGAACTTCTGTGCGAAAGAAGCAAGATGAGAGACTACAACCAGATGAAATATAAGTTCACAGGTGAAGGGTCGAATAACGGCAAACGCACTGAGCTCCTCAAACAGAAACGTGTTCTTCACCCTAAAACACGACCTTGTTCGGCGTCGAGATAACCCATGATATCTATGCAGAACACAGAGCGAATTGATGATATGCGTGAAATTGGACGGTTGAGAGATATACGAATAATTGGTCACCCTTATTTACATGTTGAGATTGCAGTCTCTCCCAGTATCTATTGCAAGAACACATCGACAACGACTAGTTCTCTAGAGACCATGATAGGTCTCTGAGTCCGTGGAGATCATAGAGCCAGGAAGATGTCAGAAACCCGCACCTCTCGTCTCGCCTAGATGTATGTGTATCACGGAAGGTCCAAGGCGAGAGGGGGGAACTTGGAACCTTGCATGACGCACTCCAGAATCTAGGGGGGAAACAGAGACGCAAGGCTCGAATCTCGATGATACTACCTCGTTCTCCGAGACTTGAGCGGACCAAAGAACTGAAATAAATCACCCGGGAAATGGCGAATGGGCAACCTGGTAGAACATACAAGGAGAAACGGAGGGCATCATCGACCTTTTTGAATGGGTGCTACACTCGACTACCTTGCTATGAACACTGCTTTTGCGAATTCCAAAACAAGAACTGAAGTAGTCCCATGAGTTGGGAAGTTCATCTGAAGTAAGAGGTGGATGTACCATGAGCAATCTTAGAGAGCTTGTCCACCACGCGAGGCTGCGAAGCTTGTATAAAGATATGTGCGGTATGGTTCCGGTTCCACAATGAAGCAATTGCAGGTTAACCTGCAGCAAGAAGCATGTCAGACAGCATAACTATCTCAGACCTAGGTTGTAGACTGATATGGATCCATTCTATCCCACCAGGTCCGGTCACCTAGATTACACCAAGACGTTTTCAGATGCCATCAACACCCTCCTCAAAACTTGACACATGCTTCCACTTGTTCAAGCATCAACCCTTACCCGCCAACAAACCTATCCCAACCCTACTGTCTGCTCACGTTTCTCAAGAACCCAAGATCGTGTCCCATTGACCCTTAACTCCATTGAAACCCTCCAAGGCCAGATACCATCAGTGACACCCCAAGGCCTTCTTCAAAGTCGCGCCCTCCAGCCGTGACGTGCTCTCTTCCCGGTGCAAGTAAAACGAGTACATATTACGACCGAGCAATGGCCGACGTGCCAATTTACCAGTAATGTGAACACCCCGGCAACTTCTTCGGGGGTGGGAGACTATCAAATCTTGAAGAACCTCATCGGTAACATGAGAGATTCATGGAAATAGACCCTCTTCGGATAATTCCCCATCCAGGCGAAGCTGATCATCCAGAAAACTGAACCAGGGATGAAAGTCGACGAAGAAAGGACCGACTACTCAGTCCGCCTACCCCCCATTCTCTCCCAAACGCAACTCCTTGAAGAGACCCCCAGCTCGATAGTCTGCAAACCATGTCTTCTCTCTACCCCCTCTTCCAACCTTCGCGCTTTTGCAAAGCATAGAATATCATAAGATAAAGAGCAAAGATATCATCATCAACCGAGGCAGCGACACTTGCAAATGCCAATCATTGGAGGGACTAAAAAGCCACAAGACCACCCGCGCGAACCCCGCACATCGACAGCCCATGATCAACACCTGAGATCTTCCTCCCAGGGCCCGTCTGCCTCGGTTTCAACCAAGCCCAACATTCATCCCCCCTCCTCTCGAGCATTCAACAGGTGAACGAGGTCTTCATTCGCAAGCAACACCCCATTTTCCACCAGAAGACAGCATCTGAGGTACGCTATACGCTTGGCCGGCAATTTCATCTCTCGCCATACGGCCGTCAAGTCGACGCCTCTAGAATGCGACGCTGTCCTCGGGACCTCATGAACACTGATTCACAAGGACCAAACCCGCCCCCCCCTCCCTTCCTCTCAAGATTCCCCAACCTCGGCGATGCACAACTGAGACAATGAGACTGAGACATTCGAGAAACGCACCACCGTTGTGGGTGTCAATACCGAAAGGACACCGCAGGTTCGCAGCCAGACCGACTTGAATCGATACAACGGCCGGTTAGTCAATCAGGCATTCTGGTCACCCCCAAAAGGTCCAAGAGGGTGTATAGCAAATATCTAACAACGCTACCCCCCGTCAAAGCTCAGAAATTAGACAGAACTCTCACCCCGCCTTTGCCCCGCGAGAAGGGCTAGGATAAAAAAAAAAGGTGAGACATGCCATCGAAGAAAAGCCTTACGTTTAATGCCGACGTGGTATCGGAATCGCTCGGAAAGTGTAAAGACGCTCCCTCCACTTGTTGGTTCGATAGACCAGAAAAGAAAAACAAAATCAAGCCTCGAATGACCAACCGAAAAAGGGCCATCGAACCGTTGATCATTGCCCTACGAGCACGAAATACTGCCGGGTGGAAGTCCTCTTGACAGACGGCGCGATACGACGCTACCGGACGCTAGCACGCAGCTCTAGGCCAAAGTTAGCAATGTCTCAGTTCTAGTCAAACAGCTAGACCTCTTCGACGGTCGTTCTAGAGGTTTCATCAACTGTGGATATTTCGTTGTTTGAACCGGTGCGTCGTCGTGGTCAGGTACGGATACGGATTGAGTCGAACGAACTCGACGACCAAAAAAGAAAAGAAATTTCCGTAGTACGAGTTACACTAACACTACGGGGACGTCTGAACCCCATCGTCGGATCATCGGACCCCAAATCTGTTGTTTGTTCTTATCCCTCTCTTTCTGCCCACCGCGGCGGAGCAGTTATGTCGATCACAAAGACGGATAATCCCACTGAACGGAACCCCAACGTCGTATCCAGACCTCCTCTGGGACAAAATCCTCGTCGCTGAGGCCCCTGGGCTTCGCTTTTTCCAAATTTCTGGTAGATTTGCAGCGAGGGTCATGTCAATAGTCGCAACGCTAGCCCGCTCATCATTAGCCTCATCTGTGCCGTCCAGACGCAAAGTCCACAAGCGGATTGATTTCGCGAAATGAACTGTCAGACGGCGTGTGAGTGGGATAAATTCTCCCAACATCGACAGTTGAGGGAATCCGGGGGGCATAGTTGGTACTTGGTAGGGCACTAAGCAAACAGCTCATGGACGTCTGTGGTCGTCCGTTACCTTTCCCCCCCCTTCTTCCTCTGGGCTTCTTAGCGAACGCCATCCTCGGCCTGGGCCTCCTGTGTAGAAATCTTGGCCTGCATGTTGTTGATTCCAACCGCATGCACATGAGAAGCGGTGCGTCGCGTTGACGAGCTGTGCCACGCACCAAGACCCAAGACCGGTCAGCTTCTCCTCTTCCAGACCCCTCTGCAGAATCGGGGAAATCGTTCGTGAAATGAGCTCCCGCAGGCTCCCGCAAGCCTCGTCGCTCTTCTCCGCATCGCGGCCCTTGATGGTTCGTCTCTCATAGTCATACCATTACTCCTTGTAGAAAGTCGACCGGCGCTTCCCCAGGCCGCAAGGCTCCCGGTGTGAGAACTTAGAAGAGAGACCCGTTGCGCCTTTCCTCACTAGGACTTGGCCCACTGGAGGATTTAATCGGACCGGCCAATTCCCATGTCCGTCGGTCTCTTTGAGGCTTGAGCCACCGCCCTGGCAGGCCATGAACCATGAGAAAGAAGGCTGGACGATTTACAAAGAGGGGACTTTCTTGTCTGATCCTCCGAGAGAGATTCCACTCCCAAGGCGTAACTCCGGGGGCCAGGTTTCGTGAAACAATAGAGAACCACCATGACGGCATGCGGAGACCGATACATCGTTGCATAGCAAGTGCAAAACTAAAGGGCCCCCAATCCGGCCTCGTGGAAGGGGGATGGATAGTGTTGCGATTTCCACGACTCTTCAGTAAGCATCTGCGAGCGGATGGCGTGTACCCGCGATGCCAAGATGCATCTCACACACCCTTCACGTTACTTCGACCAACCACACCTACGGCTCGCGGCCTCAATGCGACTTGTGCCTGCATCTGAGGGTGCATACGCATCCTG